ATATATTTAAGAAATATTTAATGTGAATGAAAAAATTAGTACTAGAAATAATAAGAAAAAAAGGAATTTTACCTAAATTTGTACTGATGATATATGCTTTAACTATTAACAATAATTATATTTAATACATAATTGGATTCATTAGCATAATTGATTTATCAAAATAGAGTGAAAATAAACTAATTGGCAACTCTAGAATAATGGCATTAAAAATCAAAATATGGTGAAATTTGAATCCAGATAATATTTATCTCTACATATATATCACATGTTCTAATAAACCTTTTTTGTTTCTTGATACTTTTCTTCCTTAATGTCTATTCAGGCTTTAGAGTCTGCTTTATATAACAATGGTTTAAAATTCTAGATGCTATCAATTATGATATATCTGTAAAATTTGAATAATCGTCATGAACTTTACTTGCTTTTGTGTGAATAGCTCCATTATTATTTATTTCTCAAGTTTCTCTATCATCTTAGTCCATCGTTATTGTGTTGTTTTTTCAGCTATTTTTTCATATTGAACTTGATTACTAGTATTTTAGAGAACCTTCAAATTGGAATTGTGATTTAAGATCAATTATTGTTTCTTTTATTACCAATAATGCAGTGTTATCTAATATATATAATGAGAGCAAAACAAATCAAGTATTTTAATACTGTTATATTTTCAATTTCAGAGTTTTGCCTCAACAGGTTAGTTTAATTTGAATATAAAAATGTGTATATATACTAAATTTATAAATTATAATTAACTATAATCTTTGGCTGGATTATCTTTATTTAGGCTTTAATCAATTTCTTTAAGTCAACGTTATGATTTTGCTATTAAAAATGTTATTGATTCAATTCATTTACATCCAAATCTAATTTAGAATATTCGATGCTCACTACTGAAAAACCATTAACAAGAGTTTCTTTTTGGCAATTTTTATCATATTTTACAATACACTAATTTATTGAAATCTGTATGACATTTAGTTAGGAGGGATTAATCGCTTGGTAAAAATAAAAATATGTATAAAATTTTATAATTTTATCTTGTTCATTTATAATTCAATTTGAATTAGTCTTCAACCTTTCACCTGCTTTCTTACAATTTTTAAGTGAATTCTTGATTGTACGAAGCTAATCAGAGAATTTTCTACCTAATATGTTACACAATTTAGAACAGTCATACCATACAAGATATGAATTATTGCACTTACCGTTACACTTACCTTTGCACTTACCATTGCATTCATTTTTATATTTATAGACTTTCAAAGCTTCTTAAAAATAATATTTTATCTCATATGATTTTTTTTATGAATTAGGGGTTATTCCATATTTTAGATAATCATCTGAATACTCTACATCCAATTCTGAAAATTCATTTTTTAGTAAGACTTCTTTATTTAGTATTTTTAATGTTCCTTTTTATCCATGCTTTTTGCCTTACTTCCAGTATCCATCATACTCATAGTTATTTATCCAATCTTTAATCAAACCTTTTCCTTAATATTTGTTGCCTTCTAGTCCTCCGTTATAAAATGAAATCAACTTAAACCTGGATTTATTATAAATATATATTTCCACTTTGTCACCAAAATGATTATCATATTCAATGTTATATTTTACAGTTTAATAATCTATAATTTGGTGCTAAGTTTCTTCAATAATTCTCCCTTCAACTTATTCGAAAGAGCTAAATTAGCTATTTCCAATAAATAATTTATTGCATTTTTCTATATTCTCAAATATAGTCCAAACTACATTTTGATTCTTCAATTTTGCAGAATAAAACCCTATAATTTACTCTGTGATTTATTCAAACTCATATATTAATTCTTAAATGTTTTGTTTCTACTTTAATAGATGTTCATATTCCAAAAAGCGCATAATATTTGGAATTGTGTTTTATAATTTTTATATAAAGCTTTATTCTGCTTGATCTGTTCTTTATGTTATTTTTATTACCTATGTTTATTCTATATTCTATATTTACTATTTTTTTTTTGTTAACTCCCGATTAATTTGATTAAACTTAAATTCCTTTGGCCAAATAGAATTTAAGAATTAAATTTTATCTTAAATTTTATACTCGAACATTTTATAATCTGTTAAAATAGAATTCAATATGTAATATTAATCCTCTTAACCTAAATTAGAGAATTCCACTTCAGATGACATTTTATAATAAGACATATGATAGAAAGCCAAAATCTTCTATGTTTTATTTTTCAGTTCTTCAAGTTTTAAATTTTGAATTTGACAATAGTAAGATTGGAGATCTTGTTTATTTAAATAATATAATAGATTAGGATCAAATTACAATATATTGTTCTCTCTAAGACTTGATATATAGTTTTTATTGTCTGAGTTCATTTTTTCTTAGAGAGTTATATCTGATTAAATCAACTCATTGATTTCACTTTCTTCTTTAAAATCCAATGATAAATTTTAACTATATTAACGCTTGAGTTTTTCTTCAGGTTATAAGCCTTTTTGATATTCCAAAAAATTCTTTTTTAATTTAATAACTTCATTATCAGATGGAAGTTCATATTTAAATAGAATGTCCTAAATGATATTTTTTATTTATTCAATAATAATATTTTCATTGACTTCTTAGTCATCATAAATCTTTCCTAATTATATTTTCCTTTAATTTGCGCAAGTTTCTATTTCAAAATTTTGATATATGTTTTTTAATGGCACAAATAACTCAAACATCATAACTCCTAATGCATATCTATCATTATTTTCGATGTCACCTTTTGACATGTTTTATAATGTTTCCTTTACTCCATTATTTTCTTTGATATATTTCAAAAATTAATCATTTAAATAAGGATATAAATTTCTTTTCTGTTCATCATCATGCTCTTTGATTTAAATGTAGTTTATACAAATTATTAAATCGGCAGGTTTATCTTTTAAGAATCCAAAATCAATTAGGTAAAATCTATCCTTATATAATATAACATTTGAAGGTTTAATATTGAAATGAATCATCTTTTATTATTTAAGATCGTTTGCCAATTCCAATAATTTAAAAAAATATTCTATTTTATCTTATTTTTTTACACCTCGTTCTAAAATCTATCTTAATGATTGAAATTATTCCTAGCAATTATATATTACATCAAATTATTAATTACCATTTCCTTACGGTTTTTCTGAATGTTCAAAAATCTAAAGCATACAACTGTGATTAAATTCAGTTAGTGCTTTCCCTTTATTTTTCTCGAATATTACTTATTCTAATTTCCCGTTAAATTATATATCTGACTTACATTGATATGATACTTTAACACGCTCATCAAAAGAAATTTTTCCTATCATTTATATTATTAAATAAAATATAATCCAAAGAATCATAATTTAACATAAATACTATACACCCATATAAAATCTAAATTAATTAACTGCTTTTTATTTCCCTCCGTTATGAGTCAGGTAAATATTATATGGTATCAGTAGAATTTGAAGAGTGTTAAGTATGATAAATCTTACAATTCAGCATCTTTTATACAATATTATATCTATATTAGAAATATAATTAATAACTCTAGATGTAGTATCTATTATAGCTATCAAGAAATTTACATCTGACATGGTAGAAATTAATATTTTTGATAAGTTAGTTTTGATATTGAACAAAATAAAGTACATGTATCTATAATCCTGAGTTGGAGTTGATTCAAAATCTTAATTCTTCATTTACAATAATTATTATAAAAAGAATCAACGATAATACGACTAGTATAATGCTTCAGATTTTTATTATAATTCTGAATCTAAAAGAAATACAACAATAATTAATATATATTACAATATCAACTATTAAACTGCTTGTTTAATAAGATTTATAGAGGAGATCGATCATCAGTACTAATTTTTGATGATGAGTCATTTAATTTTATACTACTATAAATATAATGATAAAAAATAGCTTCAATAAGGTGGATATTGCTTTGGAGGGATGGAAGCCATTAATATGATTATAACTCAATATTATAATATTGTATTTTGGATTATGATATGTCTGCCAAGAATGGATTCTAATGTATTATACTTGTTGCATAAATGTATTTTCATAAGAGAAATAAGAATACATAAATTTATATGACAAAGGTATTTTATTATCATTTGCATCAATGATGTTTTAGATAAATTTAATTACCTAGTTAATTAAAATTAAAATGAATCTGCAAAAGCTAGCTTTTTACGAGCACTACACAGAATAAAACTGATAAATCCAAAGATAAAGCTATATGTTGAATATTTTCAATAATATGAGGACCCAACAAACATGTCGTTTTTTTTATGCCTATGAAGAAAAAATTCTTTAAAAGCCACCAACCTCTTATGATCTTGAACTAGTGTTTATTTGATCATATGATAATGCCGTTCAACTAAGCTTTGACATTTTAAATGTTTCAAACGATATTTAATTTCATTTTATTCATTCAGCTATTGTAAAAATACTTTATTTTCGGTCAAATGCGATCTTAAGATGGACGTTTTGGAAATTAATTTTATTACTGGTTGGATTTATTATAATTTAAGAGACTACAATAATGAAATTGGTACAACTGTAAATATTATTAAGAAATATTTATTCTAATTATTATTAATATTGTTGTTTCCTTAATATTTTATTGCATTAATATAGTTATTGTTTATATTGAAGTTATTGTTATTATGATAGATAATGAACATGTAATATTTTTACAAAGTTTCATATTAATATTGTTTTTATCATATTTTTTGGAACAAATTAAATATCATTTGTTGGATCCTGATTTATTTCTCTAGAATGGCTCACACTCCGCTTTAAACAGATTCTTGACTTTTCTCAATTTTCTGCGTGGACTCTCGCATGGCTTTTGGACTAGGAACTGAACTCCACCTCAATACTCTAGATGTAGTTAAGAACCTTCTCAACTTTCTCCTGCCAGTTGCCTGCCTCGTCATACAAGTGGTCAATGATTTGTTGAAACTTCATGTTCTGACCATGTGATTTGTATTTCCTCCAATTTTGTTTAAAGGGCTGGAAGACTTTGTAGACAAGAACCCTTCTAAATGTAAATGGCTGGATTCTCCTTTCAATTAATTCATTGGTCTTATAATTAATGTGTTTTTCCAAGGCCTCTGCTTGGTAAAACTCCTCCCCAGCTATTAATTCTCAATCCAAACTCCTTGTATTATTCTCAAAATCAATGAGTAATTCTCGAAAGTATCCTTTTCTTCGTTTTCCAACTCTTCCATCCACAAATTATCCACTTTGTGTTATGACCAGAGGAAATAATTGTAAAGTTGCACAGTTTGTAGCCATGTAAGACCCTTTATTAGAATTATTTTTGTAATTCTTTCCTAATATTTGAGATCTTCATTAAATTTAGTTTCACGCAACTTTTATTCATTATCTCCATCATCATTTATAAAAATATGCTTTCATAATCAGTTTCATATTAAATAGATGTTAATAAAAACTCACTTACATATATAACAACTTTATTCTAATAGATTCAAATTCTTCTAAACTATAATGAAAATTATAATTCTTTAAAGTAATGTTTTTAATTTATTTAAAATAATTTTATTATTTGAATGAAACAAATATTAATCATCTATTTAGAAAAAAATAAATATATAACTAAAATATTAAAATATCATTTTAAAAAGGGATATAATAATTTTCACTATTAATTATACAATTATAATATGGTAACTACAATTAACTTCAATGATTTAAGCAACAATGATGGATATGACTAAATGGGGTTAATGGAAATACTGTGGAAATCTTTATTAAAATAAAGATTTTGGTAACCATCAGAAAAAACCAGAATGGACAGTCAGACTTTAATAGTAAGAGACTAAAACAGAAATCCTTAGTACGTTGGAAGAATATCTGAAAGTTAAATATGATACAGAATTTGGATAAATTCCCATCTAAGGACTCGATGGTGATTAACAAGGAGGAAAAGGAGAATAGCTTCATATAATAATTAATGATTCCTTAGGTATGGTTAACAAGAACAGCTATTGATACTTTGGATTTCAAATATGGATATTGAACTGGGTTGGTTAATGTTATGAGATATAGCTGGAGAGAATACTTAGAGAACGTGAGATGCGTTAGGAAGATTATTATAATATAGAAGGAGGAGGCAGACCGGCCAAAGTTGGAAAAAATTAGAGTGAGCTAACACTAGATGGCTCTGTTGTTTCTTTTTAGGACTAGATTGATAAGAGAGTCAAAAAAGATACCTAGATTTTTAATGAATTGAACTTTTTAGTGGAGGAGATATTTCTTTCATAGAAATAAGATGAAGAGACTTTCAAGTTCGAGGTATCGACGGAAGAAGTGATACAAGAAGTTATCCGACACACTAATCCAAATTGCCGATTGATAAAGACGAGTTGGTTTTGGATAGAAACTATCTCTTCGTGTTGGGTAGTTAAAATCTCCTATAGAATTAGGGATACATGAGTGCCTTCCAATTATTATTGATTAAATGATAACTAATCTACTTTTAGAAGGTAAAAATATATATGATAAATAACTTAAGGAACCGATCAAATATTACAAAAGGGATAGGAAATAATGGTTTAAAGCTACGAGATTTGAATGGAGAGAAAAAGTCTCAGGATAGATGGAACGAAGCTGATTAGTTAATAATAGTGTTAATTAATCTATAAGATGGAACCAATTTCTTTTAAATTTGTATTTTATGTTAGGATATAACATTATACAAATTACATTTAATGCAATTCTTTGCTTGATTATTGAATTTTTAATCCAATACTTAGATAGAATTGTCATAGGAAAGAATTCAAAAATTATTATGATATACACCTTTTGTTTTTGGGTGGATTTAGAACAATAATTGTATAAAGAGAATAATATAAGAGTAAGAATTAATGAAGATTGATAATTATTTTGTTTATCATACCTATTTAGATTTTGAATACTTTAGATAAAATTGGAATTGAAAGTTAATATCATAAATGATGTATTTATCTCAGACTAATGTAATTTTCGATTTCAATAAAGGTGTGTAATCGCAAAATATTAGTTACCCTTAACTTCAAAAAAGGAAATTTATAGCGATCTTCCGCGGAGACGGCAGTTTTAATGTAAGAATTACCCAAAGAGAATATGAACCGAAGCAAATCAAGACAAAATTATTGTTATAATGCTGCATTAACATTTATTTATTCATCACTACAAATCTTATAATATGCAAATTAACTCTAACATAAAACAATCAAAAATCCTATTCTTGATTCCGATTAAAATTAATTCCAAATCAACTCAACTATTAGATAAAATATAATCAGCCATTTTTATTTTTAGTACTGGTTTATTCTTGGCAAGTTTAATAAGTTTATGAATTATATATTTCAAAGCTCAAAGTCTGTTTGGCCTCTAATTCCAAAAATAACACATCCTCTTCATTCCTACTACACCTACCAAAAAACAAAAAAATAACAGATGTTTAGCTAAAATTAACACGTCATTCCTATAGTCGTTTCTTTCCTGCAAACCTTGTGACAGTCCTTCTCAGGAGTCCTATTCTAAGTTAGCTTGATCAAATAAGTATTCTATCATTGCCAAATCAAATTGAGAACCTTCAAGGTTCAAAAGCTCTTCCTTATTTCTCAATCTACTACGCTAAACATCATCTCGTTAATATTGCTTTAAAAACTAGAGCATTCTAAATCTCAGAGAATTCATTTATTCGGAATTAAAATAGGAATGCTTGAATTTCAGTTAATTGAAAATCTACATTTGGTTCTCAATCGCTAAACTGTTCCAACCCTAAATATTCCAAGAAGTGATATATAGTCAAATAGGGTTTAATATAATATGTCTTCTTAGCTCTTTTTGATTATTTAGAGTTATTGAAGATTATTAATTTAATTCAATATAAAAAATACACTTTAGATATCACATATGAAAGAGATCATTTAAATGTTATCACAATTTGAATCTAGGTTTGCATATCATATATCTAAATTTAATACTGCCAAACCTGCTAAGGTTTAATAAATTCTCTTGAGGTAAATTTAAAAACCACAATGACAAGTAAATTTAGCATCCATAAACTCTTTATTAATGTATTTTGTTAATGCAATATCACAATATCATTAATTCTTAAATTAAGTATTTTATGAATATTGATTAAACCAAATGAATTTGTATTTCCTTTAAAAAAATACATCCATAAGAGAGTTGATATATTTAAATAAACATTACACATAATTTCTTTGTAACTAAAAATATTATGTTGTAATCTTTTTTAAAAATCGAAGTATTCTACTGATCCTGAGATAGACTAATTATAAGGAGACATTATTCAAACAATAATTAACAATAAAATTACTTTTATCACGTATTATAAGAGAAAATTGTTCAGTTTGATTATGGATGTCCAAAATCTCCATTTTTTTTCAATTTAATGTTCATGTAATAGAAGGAATCCGAAAATCTTTTTTTGAGTAATCCTACTCTAATATAATCTGCTATTAACCTAACTATAATATTATGCATACTTATTATGACATTTTCTGAAATTACATATATAAAGCGCATTTTTATATTATTAGGTATTGTTAATTTTAAAACTAACTGCTGTAATCAAAATTAATTCCTCAAGACCCATCAAATTTTATTTGAAAGTTGTAAGTGAAAACTTTTAGTTAAGCTATCTTATTTTAAGCGTTTTCATAGACAATAAAAATATAAAATACTAAAAGCAACAAGGAAGTCATAATTTTTCACGGTTGATATTACAAAAGAACTTAAAATGAATTGCGTAAAAAAATTTAGAAAAAACGATTTTCTCCTATAAATAATTTTCAAAAATTAATAGAAATTGGTAATTTTTAATAAAATGAATTGCACTTATCACATAGAACGTCCAATAACTTTGATATGTGTTGGTCCTCACCTATGTTAAAGGAAACTTTGCATAGAATGCCTACATGAAAGAGAACACGATGCCCATAATACAATTCTGATTGATAAATTTAGAGAAGAAGTACTCGTGAAATTAAAAGAATATGAACTGGATTAACAATCAGAATTTTTCAAATATGAAATGAATTTGAAATCAATGTTCTCTTAAACTTTAACTAAGACGAAGAAAGTTTGGGAAGAATTATCAGTTTTTATTTTTTCAATATTGGATATGATTGAAATGGAAAATAAATCATATACCAAGCTTATCAATGAAAATAATCTAGCAGAATATTCATATTCAGATTTAGAAAAATTAGTGCAAATGGTGAAAGGAAAAGTACTCGATGATTGGGATGTTTAAAAGAGTTTTTTTTTAGTTAAATTACAAAAAGCCTAATCATAATTTGAGGAAGAATTATAAACCTTCATTTATAAAATTTAAGAAAATGTGAAAGGAATACTTTCAAGCATAAAGTATCAATCAATAACTATTTTGAATAGGATAAAGAGAATAGAACCGTTTGTATGGAAAGAAACCACTCAAGAGCTTACAGGAATTGATTGGGATTATAGATATAAACCCCCATTACAAACAAAAATTAACCTATAAATAACTTTCACTAATAATAAAGAAATATAATACTTGATGAACGGATAAATTATAAGAAGGTATATTTCTTGATGTATGAATTGGTTTAGAGATTTGATAAAGGACACTTCATAGAATCCTGAAATAATGACCAATCTAGAATAAATAAAATTTCTTACATGGACTGAAGAATATAACAATTGTAATTAGAAGATTGGTAAATCGATGGCTTTCTGGGATTGTTAAACAAATTCGATTGCAGGTGGATAGTACTCAAATGAAGGATAGAAGGTAGGTCTATGGAAAGAAATACGAAAAAATTTTTCGAAGTAATTTACATAATTTATTTATTAGTGAAGCCAAGGTTTTCGAAGTAGGAGAATATGTTAAAGGTTTGAGGTAGAGTAGTTGGAATTACATTTATGAAGATAAAGAGATGTATTAATAAAGTTATTGAATTATAGAATTGGAGGAGAGTATTGTAAAAAAGGAAGGAAAAATGGCATGTGGTTAGAGTTGAGTGACAGTTTTGGAAAATATTTCCAAGGTTATTTTGAAGGAGAATATAAAAATGGTAAAAAAGTTGGAGGATGGAATATTTTGTGTCAAAAGGAGAACCCTGATCATAGAGAAAAGATGTAAACAATATATAATAATGAGCCAAATTAATAAATAATTTATGTTAAGTGGTGGGGGTTATTATGATGATCTAGGGGATGAAATTAAGATTGGACAATGGATTGAATTTGATGATATGCTTTATCATTCTAAAAAAGTAATTTATAGAGGTGAGTATAAAAATGGTAAAAAAGTTGGTAAATGGTGCATTGAGTATAAACACGACAGTAGCGATTCATTTACATAAATGTAAAATATTTTATAATCATGTACAATCTTTAAATATGGGTATTTAGTGGTGGAGGATCATATGATTAAGAAGGGAATGAAATTAAAATTAACGAATGGTTAGAATTAGATGATCAATTTAGAGATATTAAATAGGTAACGTATAAAGGTGAATATAAAAATGGTAAAAAAGTTGGTAGATGGTTTATCAAGTATACTCCTGATAGCAGTCATTCATTTTCTTAATTGTAGAATATTTTATATAAAATATCAACTTAAAAATTGTGAATTAAGTGGTGGTGGATCATATGATTAAGAAGGGAAAGAAATTAAGATTAGTGAATGGTTAGAATTAGATGATCAATTTAGTGATATTAAATAAGTAACATATAATGGTAAATATCAAAATGGGTAAAAAGTTGGGTTATGGAAAATATTTGATTAATAAAATTTGAAGTATGCAAACAAGAAATATATATATTTTAGGGGTGTTACATATTATGATATTAATGGCATTGAAATTTATTAGAGCAGAGAGTATTAGTTTATTATTTAATAATACAGAGAAATCATATATTTTGGGGAATTTTAAAATTAACAAAAAATTGGTGGATGGGATATATATTATTTACACTAAAAAATGTAATAAATATATAAAGTGCTGTTAGTGGTGGAGGATCATATGATGATGGAGCTTAAAACATTAAGATTGGTTATTGGACTGAGTTGGATTAAGGATTTAATGATGAAAAATAAGTAACTCATAGAGGCAATTTCAACAATGGTAGAAAAGTTGGTATATGGAATATTTGTTACAAAAATAAATCTGTGTAACACTATTTTATAAAGAGCTTAATTGATAAAATATGCTATAAGTGGTGGAGGATCATATAATGAAGAAGGTGAAAACATTAAGATTGGAAAATGGCTGGAATTGGATTTAGGATTTAATGAAAGGAACTAGCTAACTTTTGGAGGTCATTATAACAATGGTAGAAAAGTTGGTTAATGGAAGATTCTTTATAAAAACAAATATGTGTAATACTATTATGTAAAGTGCTTAAAAATAATGATGCGTAATAAGTGGTGGGGGATCTTATGATGAAGGAGGTGCAAACATTAAGATTGGGTATTGGACTGAGTTGGATTAAGGATATAATGATACAAAATAAGTAACTCATAGAGGCTAATTATCAAATGGTAGAAAAGTTGGTAAATGGGAGATTTTTTATAAAAATAAATATGTGTATCACTATTATATAAAGTGCTTAATTTATAAAATACGCTGTAAGTGGGGGAGGATCATACGATGGAAGAGATGAAAACATTAAAACTGGGCAATGGTTTGAGTTGGATGAAGAATTTAATGATTCTAAATAAATCATTCATAAAGGTAGTTACAAAAATGGTAGAAAGATTGGTACATGGGATATTTTTTCAATTAAAAAGGGTGCCTTATATGGTTTTTTTTATTATAAGATGTAAATATATTATTAAAAGAGGCCGATTTTAATGTGTAAGTGGGGGTGGATAGTATCATGAAACAAATTATGGAGTTAAGATCGGATATTGGGTTGAATTAGATGAGGGATATTTTAATGATAAATAAGTAACTCTTTGTGGTCAGTATAATTTTGGTCATAAGGTAGGAAGATGGGATATTCTATATAGAGTATCATTTGAAGAGTTTAAATAAATGTAATCAATATATTTATGTTTGCAATAAACCATTCTGTATAAAAAGTGGTGGTGGATTATATGATGAATAAAGGAGTGGTTTAAAGATTTAAAATTGGATTGAATTAGTTGAAGGATTTTAGTGGAAAAAATAAGTTACTTATAGAGGTCAATTTGAAAATGGTAGAAAAATTGGTAGATGGGATATTTATTATAAAAGCTAATAAATGTAATAATGTTATATAAAGTGCTCAATTAATAATACTTGTTAGTGGGGGAGGATCATTTGATGAAGGAGGTCATAACATCAAAAATGGGTTTTGGATTGAGTTGGATTCAGGATTTAATGATGCAAAATAAGTAACTCATAGAGGCTATTTTAACAATGGTATAAAAGTTGGTAAATGGGATATTTGTTACAAAAATAATTGCATGTAACATGCTTAATATTAACAAATATGTAATCAGTGGTGGGGGATCTTATGACGAAGGAGGTGAAAGCATTAAGATTGGTTATTGGACTGAGTTGGATAAAGGATTTTGTGATGCAAAATAAGTAATTCATAGAGGTGAATTTTAAAATGGTAGAAAAATTGGTAAATGGGATATTTTTTATAAAGATTAATAAATGTAATAATTTTATATAAGTGGTCGATTAAAATACTTGTTTAGTGGTGGAGGGTATTATGATGGATAAAGTGGAAACATTAAAATTGGTAAATGGACAGAATTGGATAGTTAATTTAACGATTTGAAACAATTAATAATACTTGGGCAATATTAAAATGATAAAAAAGTTGGTAAATGGGTAGAAACGAGAACAAATATTGAAATAGCATCAATTTGAAAAATAGTCAATTAATAAAAATATTTACTATAAAAATTTATTATTTACATTTTTTGTTTAAATTCTTATATTTATAATCTCAATTTCATACAATAGAAATATTTTTTAATCTGATTTTTAGGTTTAGTTAACATTTATCAAGAAACAAACAACTTGTATTGTTGTTAAATTCAAAGAAAAATGATAATGATTCAAGAACCCGAAAGAAGAAACAATGGAATTTATGATAGAATAAATATTATCAAAAAATTACACAAAATTTTGAAGCACAATTTTATTTATTTTTTAATGTTTATTTTTACAAAATACAAATAACACAAATATGATGTTTAAATAATAATGGTTGACATTCATATTCGATTGTCCAACCTTGATATTATTTTTCACTATTTTGCAGTGCATTTTACTTTTTTCATGAGGACTTTCTTGGATATTAATTAGGGTCATAATCATTGTCAATAATTAGATTTATTTAATTGAAAACAATAACATACTTATATTAAATGAGTCCTAAAATTCAGTTTGACAAAAATTAAAATAATTTAAACCTAATTTTACTCACATCTTTTAAATAAGCGATTTAGAAACTGGCTATCTATGATAAGTATATCAAACTAAATATTAAGAAGAAGACTTCTTAGCATTATTAAGAAAACTTAAAATCAATTAATTAATTTATTAGAATCTAGTTACTAATGGATTGGCTTTATAAAGAAAATATTGCCAAAACAAAATTCATCAATAAAAATATCTGAATATTTATTAGGAGTAAATTTTGAAACTTATTTTGTTCTCAAATTGACGAGATTAATATTGGAGTTCTCCTAACATCAATATAGAAGCTAGAATTAATTGAGAACTACAAAAAATTTAGATGCCTTAACAGTTCAGTGAAATATAAAAATTAATTTGAAAATATTATCATCAAAGAAGTGTTGATGTAGATTAAAACCCTATTTAAATAAACACTTTAAACTTATAAATTGAAAGTATTGTAATTTTATAAATGATAATAAAAATAAGACATATAACAATTTAAGAATAAAGATTTTAGGAAGTAAAAATGATAGGTATATGTAAATAGTTATTTGTACTTAGATGAGAAATTTACAATAACAAATTAAATGAAATAAGTGATAGATTAATAGCAGAATACTATGAATGAGTTGATAGAAGCAAAGATATCAATAAATATGGAAAGTAAAATTATAGTTGAAAAATTGTAAATAATTAACAGAAACATAGTAGATGATGCAAACAGGACAATGATCAGCTTAATAATAAAGATTCAATATTTCTGAAATTGAAAATCACATGAAGTTGTCGAAACAAAATAATAAATAAGAAGTAAATAGTAATTAAATATTTTCAATGAGATATTTAGTACTAATTTCAAAGTCTTTATATTTTAAAGAAGTTAGTTTGAAAGTATTCATTGAATAATTGTTTAGTTAACAACAAAAAAAAAACAAGATGAAATATTAAGCGCTTGTAAAGTTAAGATAAAGGTGGATTTAGAATATTATTATTTCTCAAGTATAATTGATACTAATTGCTTTCTAGTTCTCTGGATTCACTATTTTTAATGTTCTTAGATATAAATTGGGGAATATTAAGTTTAATTCTATGTAGTTTAAAAATTTGAACAAATTTATGTTAATTGTAAAATAGGTTCTTCTTAGTAAATTCCATAAACTTTACTTTTTCCAAATATTTTCATCAAAAAAATCGTCGGGTCCCATTTCCTGTTTATGCATTAATTTCTATTTTACATATTCTCAACACTTCTCTTTTGAGGAATTTATGCTTAATCTATAATTTCCTTTATTAAATTAATCAAAATCTAAAATAACTTCATAGGTTGTTGTCAATCTCAATTTTTAATACATAAATAATATTCTGAAATTTCTTTAAGCAGAAGGAGCTCATAAATACTTTATAAATATCCATATTGATTTTTAGTGTTGATAAGAATTTGATCACTTGAACCTTTTTGAATGCAATTTCCAATTAACAATCCTCAATTTTCATCTTTTCAACTTCATTCCAAATTTAAGAAATAAGCAAAGTATTAGTTTTACGCTCTTTTCGTTTTTCATTACTTAATTAGAAACTTTTTAAATATTCTCCAAATCAAATCTAAAAATCCTATACAATATACAATCTCCTCCTCTTCATTACCAATTTAAAACTTTAATTCATGATAAGGGTTCTCGATTAAGGAAACTGAATCTAAAAATTTGTAGATCCTATCTACAGAGACAAATTCAATTCTGTATGGAAAAATCATCCTAGCATCTGATCTTTTAAAATACAATTTTGGAAATGTGGACACCAATTGATAATGAGATGAACATTATAAAGTTAGAAGGAGATATNGTACTTAGATGAGAAATTTACAATAACAAATTAAATGAAATAAGTGATAGATTAATAGCAGAATACTATGAATGAGTTGATAGAAGCAAAGATATCAATAAATATGGAAAGTAAAATTATAGTTGAAAAATTGTAAATAATTAACAGAAACATAGTAGATGATGCAAACAGGACAATGATCAGCTTAATAATAAAGATTCAATATTTCTGAAATTGAAAATCACATGAAGTTGTCGAAACAAAATAATAAATAAGAAGTAAATAGTAATTAAATATTTTCAATGAGATATTTAGTACTAATTTCAAAGTCTTTATATTTTAAAGAAGTTAGTTTGAAAGTATTCATTGAATAATTGTTTAGTTAACAACAAAAAAAAAACAAGATGAAATATTAAGCGCTTGTAAAGTTAAGATAAAGGTGGATTTAGAATATTATTATTTCTCAAGTATAATTGATACTAATTGCTTTCTAGTTCTCTGGATTCACTATTTTTAATGTTCTTAGATATAAATTGGGGAATATTAAGTTTAATTCTATGTAGTTTAAAAATTTGAACAAATTTATGTTAATTGTAAAATAGGTTCTTCTTAGTAAATTCCATAAACTTTACTTTTTCCAAATATTTTCATCAAAAAAATCGTCGGGTCCCATTTCCTGTTTATGCATTAATTTCTATTTTACATATTCTCAACACTTCTCTTTTGAGGAATTTATGCTTAATCTATAATTTCCTTTATTAAATTAATCAAAATCTAAAATAACTTCATAGGTTGTTGTCAATCTCAATTTTTAATACATAAATAATATTCTGAAATTTCTTTAAGCAGAAGGAGCTCATAAATACTTTATAAATATCCATATTGATTTTTAGTGTTGATAAGAATTTGATCACTTGAACCTTTTTGAATGCAATTTCCAATTAACAATCCTCAATTTTCATCTTTTCAACTTCATTCCAAATTTAAGAAATAAGCAAAGTATTAGTTTTACGCTCTTTTCGTTTTTCATTACTTAATTAGAAACTTTTTAAATATTCTCCAAATCAAATCTAAAAATCCTATACAATATACAATCTCCTCCTCTTCATTACCAATTTAAAACTTTAATTCATGATAAGGGTTCTCGATTAAGGAAACTGAATCTAAAAATTTGTAGATCCTATCTACAGAGACAAATTCAATTCTGTATGGAAAAATCATCCTAGCATCTGATCTTTTAAAATACAATTTTGGAAATGTGGACACCAATTGATAATGAGATGAACATTATAAAGTTAGAAGGAGATATTACAAGAAGAAGATTTGATTTATTTATTATAAATCTATCTCCATCATTATCATCAAGTTTATGTAATTTCAGACACTCGATGAACTATTTTTGGCCTTTATAAAGTTGTCTATTGACAATCCTGCCACCTTAAGAGTAGCCTTATGAAATTTTCCTATTTTAGTGCCAATTTTCAATCTGTCAGCTGCGTCTTTGTTGCTTAATTATTGTAATGTATAGTCTATTTGAGCGATTTCAATTCTGAAACTAGATCTGAGAATTATGTAAATTAGGATTCATACGCTTTAGGTAAAGGTTTTTTATTAACTTAATCTTATAATAAGGGAATTTAGTTCCATAATCTTTCTAATTCTATAAGAGCCATTTATGCTTAATATTTCAGATTTTATTTCAATAAGGCAGTTAAATATTCTATATAACCTGTAAAATGCCAATTCTAAAATCAGAAGGTTTTAAAAGCAGGATTACACTTCCATTGAAAAGGATTTCATTCTCTAGGCTGTCTACCAAACTTAAGCCATTGTTATTTTCTCCTCACTATCCCTTAAAATTTGAAAAATGGTGATGAACCAACCATATAGAAAATAAAATTGGTAACTTTTGAAAGCACTAAACTAGATAATAGTTAGATTCAATTTATATTGTAAACAGAATTAAATGGGAATTAAAAATGGCTTCATTATATAAGTAATAATGAAATAACATATATGATAAGAATGAAGATCCAATTGTATTTCATATTAGTGGATAACATTTAATTCTTGTAGAGTCTTTAAAGCCTCATTTTCAAAATTGCAATGAAAATTTTTGATGAGACATCTATTTTCTTTGAAAAATTTCTAATGATTACAAAGTTGGAAAATATTTGGATCAACTAAAAGTTTTATGATTTTTTTGTGCTTGAATAAATTGGAGGTTTTTTTCTAGTCCTGCTGGTAGTCATGAATTTTTAGTCCTTTAGGAATATTTTCTGATGAAGAAATTGGCAATTTCTTATGCGAAAAGTTTCTAATCTTTTTTAGTCACTAGGTTATCTCCTTGGTAGTATCTTTTCATTTCATATTTGAAAAGAGAACTATGACAATTTTTACCTAAATATTCTGTAAAAATATTCATTTGATCACCCTCAAACCAAGGACAGATAAAGAGAAGACCAAATTTTTGATTTACCTAGACAGAGGAAATGGTCTAGAATATCTGATATTAGTTATTACTTCAATCTTTCGATATTGTTTATAAAATAGATGAAAGAAAAAGGTTGGCAATTTGTCAGAACAAATATTATAGAGGATTGGAATTAAACTCTAATTTTTTATTATACTTATTTCCCGCTATAGATGAATATATAATGACAGGCTTAGTAAATAACATATCTACAAAATTTTCACTTCATTTTGATTTCTGCCGTAATAACATAATACAAGCCATTTTCTATATGATCCGTTTTTGAAGCATAAAAAGTATAAGTAATAATAGACAAGACATTTTTTGATAATGCCGATTAACAGATCCACTTTTTTTTTTGTGGTATTTTGGTATTGCAGTCTGCCACAGCTGCTTCATTTCATTCAGTCTTATCCATCTATTTAGGAAGAATGTTTTGCTTAGAGCCTGACCAGCTATACCTAGCACTATTCTTTTCCATTTTCTTCCCTAAACCCTGTATATCCATGTTTATGAAATTAAACAGTTATCTTCAACTAACGTTATTTCTCAGAATATCTAAGTTGAATATTAAGAAGAAATTTTTAAATAAAGGATGTACTATCTTATAGAGAAAATGAGGCATTTATTTGAATATATGATGAAATTATAGATTTATTTTGGAGACATTAGACTTTTTAGTTGGATGCGATATCGGCTCTTCCGTTTCTGTGATTTTCTTCTTTCCTTTTTTGGTTACATTAAGAGGGCTGCTCTCGATCTTAATCAATTTTAAGCACTTCATATTTAATTTTTGCAACTACTGTGCGAGAAGTCGCGTTTTATGAGACTAAATGATTTTGGATTGAAGGTCACAAAGTCTGAATCTGTGGATATGTTCACTTTTGTTTCTTCCAGGGAGAACACTTGAATTCGATAATAAGAAACAAGTTTAGGAACCACAAAAATACTTTATTGATAGAAAATGGATTTGATACTTCAAAGAGGACAAAATGATCCACAAGAGTTCTTAAAGAAAAGAGGTTAAAACATTACTTTAGAGCAAGCCAATTTGTTATTAGTTCCATTTTTTATAAAATAAATTACATTAATCCGCCAGATAATATAAAATGTAAATCATAAGAGAGACAAAGAAACGTAAATTAAAAATATGGCATCACTCAAACTCTTAATCTACTTTTCTCCCAATTAATGTACAGGAAGAATCTGCCTTAATATTAGATAAATCAATTCAACATAGAGATTAATTCAGTCATCCCATAAATGATAATTCATTTAAACAACAATAAGAATTTGAAGTTGATATCATTAATATTCAGTGAGGAGTGCAGAATTAGTAAACAATGATTTTGCAAAGAAGCCAATCATTGAAATGTTGACGCCAATCTGAAATTACATTTTAATCCTCCACTTGTTGCTAATGCAAGAGATGTGATGGAATTTTTTTAGAAAATGTTGTTAGATTAAAAAATGTGTATTTCACCTTTCTCTTTGTGTCGAAATTGATTCTCTCTCTCTTATTCTAACCATATTGAGTAGTAAGATAATAAAGACATCTAGGCAGTCTTAGTTAAATGTGCCGACTCCTGCAAAAAATTGAATGAAGTGAATCTATTTGTCTCTATAAGATTTGAATCCTTTACAGCTACAAATAGATTTGGATTTTATACGTAGATATGGCATAGAGGAAAGGAAAATGAGGTCCTATTCGAATGTCTTGAAATGTATATTAGTTTAAAATCAGATATGTATCAATAAAACAAATTGGAAAGAATTTTATTCCTGATTTATTGCGAATTAAACAAAAGTGCCAATCTGTAATTTATAAAAGGTTCTCTTGCAACAGTTATGTTGACAATTAGGGTTATTCATATGAAAAAATGCTTTTTTACTATTTTACTGATATTGCGGGAGATTAGAAAAATACTAAACCATCGAAGTCTACAAACATTTTATATTTGTTGAACGATTGAATACAATATAGTTTGCTTAATTTATTTTGGTATCTTATGAAGTGGAAGATTAGTCAAAATAACTACCACTGTTCAATTTCAGATCTTATATTGACATTGCATCTCTAAACATTTTAGATTTATGGGATCGATGCAAATATATAAAAGGTGATGGCTTATTTTTGATTACTTTATAATAGAAAGCATATCAATTTATTTCCAATACCATTTATTGCAGTTAACTGAAGCATTTAAACATCTTAATAAAAAATAAACTGTGCTTCATGTGCAATTAGAGTTGATTTATTTGAGATATTGTGCGTCAGATATTCATTTATAAGATATAATCATACTTAAAAGCATCTTACCCACAACAAAAATAAGAAAAGTAGTTATCATAAATGCAAATAAAGTTACTATGCTATTCGATTATCTTTTAAAATAGATTTAATTGCTAAAAATGGTACTACATTTAAGTTGTGCATTAATAATACAGCGAGAGTTAACCTTACAATTGCATTGTGTTTTTATTTTCGGTGTAAATTGGTAGTAAATCTATTCATGAATTAAATCTCGAAGAAGAACTTTTTAATGGATCATATATATCATTTTATAAACATTAGCAATTACATAGAACATGATATCGAAAATAATATACAATATCTTGTAGAATTTAAAAAATACTAGATATAAAAATTTAAAACTGTCATTATTTCAGCTGGTTTAATCATCATGTTAATCTCTGGCTAATGCATATTAGATAATATAAAAATTCTACGTTGGGATCATCAATGTATGGAAGAACTTCAGTAATTTGGAATTAATATAGGACTTCTGTTTATTTATATCATTTGCTGTATTCTTAGTTCATATATATTCTTGTTTGATGCGTTTACATCAAAATTTAGTTGTTTTTCTGATATTTCATCAATCCTTTAGTTGTGCCTAATAGACAGATGACTAAGATACTTTCTTCTGTTAAGACTCTTTAACCAATGTAATCGATTGAGTAATCTTCAATTTTTTTAGGCCATTTCCAAGATTATGTTCAATTTGTCGTCCAAGTTCCTATATCCTGAAGCGAATACTTTTCTATCTTTTATGAAATATATTATTTATTCATTGTAACTCACCATTTCATAAAAGTTCACAAGATTTAATTGATCATAATTGAAGTAAATATTTGCAAAAGCCTTTTATTATTTTTGGATTGATAACTTCTACCTCTAGATTTTTCAAAATCGGGCACACTTTAGGCCCCCCTTTTGCACATATGTATTTTTATTATCAAAAAATATTCGATAACTTTTTATTCAAAGACTTACAAAATCTATTCTAACAGTTGATCTTCTATTAATTTTTTAGCTATTTATATTCTAGTCTTTTTAATCTTGCTATTAATTATTATTTAGTTACCATTTAATGCATATATTGAGATTTTCATCCCTATTTCGCCTCTTATTTCCATTGTTAATTTTAGATGAAAAATTTTTGCTACATCATTTTAATTAGGGAGGCATTTCTTTATTACAATTCATCTTAAACTCTTCTCTATCGTTTTTAAAAGTAGTGTTCTTATTCTGTAATAATGAATTCTTAATCTCGAATTCAGCTATAGATTTATTAATGAGATACTCTTGTTTCGACTCTTTATTCCAAAAGTTTTTTCAACTCTTATGAGCCCTCAAGAGTCGAAAAAATCCATAAATACTCAAAGAATACCTATAAGACAAACTAAGCTTTTCTCAAATTTTTCAACATAAAATTAAAAATCTATTTATTATGATATTTATCATTTCCAGTCTAATCAAAATCAAAGGGTATTTTGATAGTATTTAAGGAACTTTGTTTTTATAGAGATCTAATTGTTTCTAATCAAGATTCATCAGTTTTTTGTCCTAATAAAAAAGGCTTCTAACCCTATTAAAATTCAGCCGGATATTTAAACTTAATTCTCTTCAGGATTATTGTATCCTTATACTTATTATCAAAAACAACATTTCGTACCTTATTTAATCCAATAATATTCTAACGCCTGTAAATACATTGGCTTCTTCCAGATTTTATTTTTTCGTTTCTGGATATTCACAACTATATTATCTCTCTCTTTACCAGGATATCTGATTAAATTTACAAAAAAATTCAAAATTCCTACCAAACTCTTAAGAGTTAAACTCTAAAAAAAATGCCAATAACCTTTACCTTCAGTCTTTTGATAGTGTTTCAAACTAAGGATCGTTGGCAACCTTTAGAAATTACATTTCTTAAGTTATAGATTCGATAAGTGTTTCTTAGAATTTTCTTATCTGAGCGGAGTGAAATAGGCAAAGAACGAGACAATTAAATATGCTATCAAATAGTCGATTAAACAGTAGGATAAATAGGCTCTATTGAATTCTAACTAACGATTTGCATTTTCAATCAGTTAGGGCTGTATTCTTCTCTCTTATTCTTTCCAATATGTTACCCTTCTCTTATAATGACTTAATCTCTTATTTTATATGGAAAGCGACATCTTATTTATAACTTGGTCGATCTAAACTTCCTATTTCTTCACCATCATTATCCATATTCATGTTAAACTTCTATATATTTTTTTATTCCTTTTTTCCTTTTATTTTAAGTAAGAATTAAATAAATGATCCGATGAAAAGTCTAGGCAATGAAAAAATTATAAATTTTGTATTTAGCTATTAGATTTAAGGATATTGTTATAGATAATTGATTATTATTATTACTACTAATGAAAAAAGCAATATATAGGTATTAGGGGGTAAAAATATAACAATAGATATAATTTGATTAATGAATCTATAACCTAAGTGTTATAATCTTCTTTAAAGCCCTATAACATATCTTCTTTTTTGATGATTTGTCCATTTCTTTTTTCCAATTAATTTTCTTTACCCTTTGAGAATGATTGTACTAATATATTTAAGAAGTTTAAAATAAGGTGGTTAGCTAAAAAATAGCTGGACCTCTTATCTGAATAACACTGAGAGTAATTTGTTTACCTTCTAATTTATAAAGCATATATAAGGAAAGTCTATAAAAATCCTTAGTCATCACTATTTGAATTTGAGGCACTAATTCATTCTCAAATATTCAAATGAAGTTATTACTCATTTTGGTTAAAGGTTTTAAGATAAGAATGCGGCATTAATTATAAATAAAAGAAAATTTTTAAAATAGAGTCATTTTAAGAAAGAACGTGGAAAGATGTTCATTTAGAAATCCACATTTACTAGATTTAGTCCTTTGAATTTTAAAATAATTATTCCACTTATTTTTATTGTTTAAGTGTAATCATTAATGCAAAGCAATTATAGTATTGGAGTTTTTACTAAGAAATATTGTAATTTTGTTAATAAAATTTTTTACTTGTATTCTACATTCTTTAAAATTCAAGCTATGCACAAGATTATGTATGATATTACTATTAAATTTATATAAATTACAATAAACACCAAATCTACACAAAGTATATTTTAAAGTCTAAGAAAAATATATAAGCTTCTTGATTTATTCTAAAACCCCTTATAAAGAAATAAAAAATTTAATCGTATTTTTTACAAAAGGAAGATGAGTTGTTAAAATGATTAGAATGAAGACATTCATGTGCTTTTGGATTAATCCAAAGATGTGGATGATTTAATCTTCCCTGTCCTCATTTCGATACTCAGAAAAGAGAAAATTTAAGATTGTCTAGAATTTCTCTCATAATCTAATAATCAATGGCAAGACAAACAAGAAATCTTTTTGGTAGAAAGCTAACTAGAAGTCAACTAGGAAACGGTTTTCTTTATTGGAAAGAATAGCATCAAAAATTTAAAGAACTTTCTGAAAAAAATTAAGAAACATGATTTTAATACAAGAAATTACTCTATTAGAGAATATGAAAATATTAAAGAAGATTTAATCCATAAAATATTATTGGATAAAAAGATTATTGAACTACTAATATTTTTAGTGCAACTTACTGCCTTCGATAGGAGATACATATAGTGCGGATCAAATGCTCTTCATTTATTAGTTGAAATGAGGGTTGACTTGAAGACGTAATCCTTTCAGAATATTAAAATAAGAAACACTTCACTGATAAGAGCAAATTTAGTGAGATGCGATTTAAGTGGATCTGAATTTGAAAATGTCTGTATTTTTGGAATCAATTTGAATTAAGCCAAATTATTTAATTGTAGGTGGAAAAATTTAAGTATAAATGAGGAAATTAAGTTAAATGTTCATTAAAGCTCTATCAATTCAGTTTGTTTTTCTCCAGATGGTAAGTCATTAGCTTCTTGCAGTAATGATAAATCTATTTGTTTATGGAATATATAAACAGGAAAAACTATGTCTATATTCTTGGGGAAGAGTGAAGTATAATCTTTATGTTTTTCACCAAATGGAACTATGTTAGCTTCATGCAGTAGACAATTTTTATATTTATGGAGTCTGAAAAATAGGAAGCAAATAATGTAATTAATTGATCATACTGCCTGTATATATAAAATTTGCTTTTCTCCTGATGGAATTACATTAGCATCTAGTAGTATTGAATATAATTCTATCCTTTTATGGGATGTTAAGACAGGATAATAAAGAGCTAAATTAGATGGTCATTCAAATTCAGTTAATTCAATTTGTTACTCTCCTGATGGTACTACATTAGCATCTGGCAGTGATGATAAGTCTATCCGTTTATGGGATGTTAAGACAGGAAAAATAAAAGCCAAATTAGAAGGTCATTCATGTGCAGTTTTTTCAATTTGTTACTCTCCTGATGATACTACATTAGCATCTGGTAGTGCAGATAAGTCTATCCGTTTATGGGACGTTAAGACAGGATAATAAAAAGCCAAATTAGATGGTCATAAGTCTTCTATTTCTTCAGTCTGTTTTTCTCCTAATGGTACTGCATTAGCATCTGGTAGTTATGATAACTCCATCCGTTTATGGGATGTTAAGACAGCATATTAAATAGCCAAATTAGATGTTCATACTAATATTGTTCTGTCACTTTGTTTCTCTCCTGATAGCATTCTATTAGCAGCTGGCGGTTCGGATACGTATATCAGTTTATGGAATATTAAGAAAAAGTCAAATATCGCAAATTTAGATGGTCATAATGGCATTGTTCTATCAATATGCTTCTCTCCTGATAGTAACACATTAGCATCATGTAGTTATGACAAGTCTATCTGTTAATGGGATTTTAAGACGGGATAATGCAAAGTAAAGTCAGATGGTCATACTAGCACAGTTCTATCAGTCTGTTTTTCTCCTGACGGTACTACATTAGCATCTGGGAGTGTGGATAAGTCTATCCGTTTGTGGGATGTTAAGACAGGATAATAAAAAGCAAATTTATATGGTCATACTCATTCTGTTAATTCAGTTTGTTTCTCTCCAGACGGCAATTCATTAGCCTCTGGTAGCGAAGATACGTATGTCTGTATATGGGATGTTAAGACAAAATCATAAAAGGCCTTATTAGCAGGTACTACCAATGTTCGATCTGTTTATTTCTCTCCTGATGGCACTACATTAGCATCTACTAGTTCATTTGCCTCTATCCATCTATGGAATCTTAAAACAGGATAATAACAAGCCATATTAAATGGTCATACAAACTGGATTAATACTGTCTGTTTCTCTCCTGATGGTGCTACATTAGCATCTGGAAGTGCAGATAACTCTATCTGTTTATGGGATGTTAAGATAGGGTAAGAAAAAGTCAAATTAAATGGTCATTCAAATTGGGTTAATACAGTCTGTTTTTCTCCTGATGGTTCTACCTTAGCATCTGGTAGTATAGATAAATCTATCCGTCTATGGGATGTTAAGACAGCATAATAAATAGCCATATTAGATGGTCATTTCTGTTCTATTTATTCAGTCTGTTTCTCTCCTGATGGTACTACATTAGCATCTGGTTGTGATGATTACTCCATACGTTTTTGGGATATAAAATCAGGACAAAACTTTCATCGAGATAGTGGTATTTATTTTTAGAGAATCATAGCTACATCCTATATTACTATTCTTCGAATTTCCTAAAATCAGAATTTCGATACTACAGGAGCCTTAATATTGAAAGGAGAGTTTAGAGATTATTAAGGAAATGATTTGCAACCATTCCTTAAATCAAAAGGCAGTATAATTTTAGAGAACTAAATGGAATAGATACAAAATTGATTATAATCAAAAAAGTATGAAATATATCAATTAACTTAAAAAAATTTGTTTTGATAAATGAAATAACAATATCTTCAAATTTATTATTAAAATCATCTTATTAATAATGATTATTATTTAAGCCTAAAATCAAACTCTTGATTATACCTGATCAAAGGCTTCTATGCCCAAGGAAGTTATTATTAAAAAATATCCTTTTTGCTTTCTTAATAATGTATTTAAAGAATATAAACTAAATTTTGAGATATGATGCTTATTTTATAAAAAATACTTTGGCAAGTGTTGTATTTTGATAATTTGACAAAATATATTGCCTGATCTAAAAATTTAAACATCTCAATATTTTGAAATAAGTGTGTAATTTTTCTGAATAAATTGATAATTTATAAGAGTATACAACCGTAACATGAAATTCTTCAAATATAAGAATAAATTTATTGTAAGAAAATAAATTTTGGAATTGTTTCAGAGTTCTGGTTTTGTACTTTAATATTTTTTAGTATTTGTAATTTTTTCAATTAGAAAAAATTATTAGTTAGAGTAAGGGTTTGGTCAAGCTGGCCTATAACTGTCTCTCTAGGAGGCCAGTAATATATTATTTCTTTCCATTACATTATGATTTCATTCCCTATTCCATTCCATATCTCATCATTTATTTCAACTCTTATCTCATCATCTATTTATTCCCCTATTTCATCGCCTAGCCCTAAGCCAATTCGACAAATTTGAGTAAGCACAATAGGATTAACAATAACAAAAATATTTAAATAAATTTTTAACTTCCATGATGAATGGAAATATTTTCGAAATAACATTTTTGCTCTTAAAAAGCAAACAAGGACAGTTTGAGGAAGATGTTAATATTTATAAAAGAATAATATGAATAAGGAAAATTAAAATCGAAAAAATATTTCTATACTTCCAATAGAAAAGCTTACAAGAAAATTTTGGTTGAACTGAGAATTGATTCAAAATATTTTACACTTCCAATAAAAAAGGATACAAAAAAAATTGGGAATGAAAGAAATATAAAATAAATAAGGGATAAAATAAAAATTTTGTAGGAAACACAATTATGTATTAAATTGTGAATAAGAATTAGATTCAAGAGATCTACCTTCTACTCATTTATTAATATTAGAGGAATTAATTTCTTTGGTGAATTTATTTATCAAAAAATTTTTAAGTCAAGCAGGAGTAAAACGATTATTTTTTCACTTTAAGCTTCAAGAATCAAACATATCTTGAGAGAGATATAACTTTCTTAACATTGTTAAGATTAATCTTCCACATGACATTATAAAGTAGTGGCTTTTTCTGAAATAAAACATCTGATTTAAACAAATGTAATAATTAATAGAGATTAGCAATAATCATCCTATTTGCATTACAAGTTCTCTTCAAAAATTCCCTATGTTAAAGATGGTATAAATGAAAGATCTCTAATTCATAAAGGAGGTGGAAAATGAGAAATCTATCTTTATTTAAGTTATGATATCATTATTTGAAGAGATTGGAGAATCATTTTTATTTATGCCCAACTCAATTGTTTTATAGAATATTTTGAAAGATTGATTTGAATATTCTCAGAAGTCACTACAATTCATTCATTTTTCTATTAAATCCTTCCTCTGAAATTGATTCTAATATGATCATTTCCTATCATTTCTTCCATTCATAAATTTAATTAAAACTCAAATAATCAATTATATCTAGAATAAGGAAAAATTAGCACAAAAGATGAAACGATAAATTATCAGTTATAACAAAACAGAGTTTCATTTAAACAGATCTTAAAAATCTATATGATCCCTATAAACCTATAATATATTGTATTTGCCAATTAATCTTTATACAAGAAAGATTCACATAAGTAAAGATGCACCTTTTGAAAAAGTTGGTGTTTCTTTGCAGGATTATTGTCTATTATATTGCTACAACGGCTATTATTATACTGTATTTAATGTGGCCCAAGGTACTTTTACTATTAATTCTTACTTAAAGATAATTCCATGAATCTTTATTGGCAAATGGCAGTCTTACTAAAACTTTGCCCAATAACTACTGAATTAAGTAACTTTTAAGTACTAACTGGAATTCATCAACAAAATGAAGTCCATGATGAAACTTATTATCATTGTTGATTCATTCTTATTTAATGCTTGTCAACAATACACTAATACTTTGTTTTCTCAAAAATAGTGCTCATAAAATTAGTATTGTCATAAATGAGATTTCTTTAGCAGATGCAAGCAGCAAGAGATTGGAAATAAGGAAATCAAAATATGTGATAAACCAACTTCTAAACCATTTTTCTAAATTGAAAATCTATTCTTTATACAAGGGCCCATATTTCACTTGTTACAACATGACTCGTGCCTTCTTTCTCTTGATTCGTTTAAATATATTATCAGTTATCATAATGTTTTGTTCTTACTTCTTAAAACCTGCAAGTAAATTTTTATGCAATAAACTCGCTCAAAATATTATTGACGGATATTTCCTATCTTAGTTACTCAAATTATCGTTAGCACCATCAATAAATGCCTTGAGATTTTGTATACATCAAATGTTTACAATGCAGAAGATATGCATCACCATTGGCTATCTTGGTTAATAATGATGCTTTGGACGGTGATGTACCAAAATGCTCACAATCTCTTCCTACTTAGGTTAGTTATAAGTTGCATAGCTGGTGTATTAAAAGGACTCAGAAAATGTCTTAAATTTCATCTTAAAATTATGTATCCTAATGCTGTTATATACTTCAACATTAAGACAATACACAAAACGCGACAATCAAGGCGCCTGAACTACTTTATTGGTTGTAAACTCCATTACTAATAGAGAAAATCCCTTATAAATATCTATTACAGTGACTGTTTTTCCTATATAATAATAGTTGGCTATTAAATATGGTTTTTATAAAATTTATTCTAATACTTATGCTTCATGAAGCCTTCTCGAACTCATACCTTATCACTTTTGAAACATCAATGAAATTAGATCAATTAAGCTTCAATGTTTATATTGCTTAATAAATAAAATTGTAACTATTTCTAATAATTTCCCAGACTCAAACACATAAAGTTTATTGCAACTAATTCATTGATAATGCTAATTACTTTAATAGTTGGATTGATGAATACTGTCTCAATGATAATTGGCACACTATTTAATGATTTTTTTTGTGTGATTATATTGAATGAGAAACAAATTATGAATTGTAAATAGATTCATTATGTGTTTAGTTGGTAGCGAACACTTTTTGAAAAAATTTTATTTTTGATTATAAAAAGAAAATCAACTGTTCGCTATATGTAGGCCTTTTCCATATTAACTTGTCAGCCTACATAAGAAGGGATACTTTGTAACAAATGTGAGGGATAAAGCACAATTAATATGGGTAACAGTTTATTTCTTTTCTTTGTTTGGTGGTCTGGACAGCCTTCAACATCCTCAATCTTAAAAATGTAAATTATCCCAAAAATTAAAACATAATATGATAATTTTTAATAATATATTAATTGTTGAATTATCACTTTTCTTTTAAATAAAAAAATTATTTAAAGCAAGCCTTCACAATTTTACTTACAGCAACGTTCCCAAAAATCCCATCTGACAGGTTTTAAAAATTTAACAATTTATTGAGTGTTCATATATTGTAATTTTCTGTAATACTTTCATTCTGTTATTTCGAAAAACTGTTCCATTTCACATCTCTCAGATTAGAAGGATTCATGAATCTATACCAAATATTGAAAGATCTTTTATTTGCAAATTAAGCTTTTATTAAGTCCAAAGACAACACTCAATTTTTTTGGTAATACTCTCATCTTTCTCAAATATATATGTTACTAGACAAATATATGAAAAATTGTGAACTATTTATTGTTTTGAGCTAGAATTATGAAGTGATAGCTAATGTCTGATCAAATATTAAAAAATAAAATGTTGTGTGTATTTAAGTAACATTAATCTTTTAAATATATCACTATATGATGATCGAGTTGGACAAGAAAATTAAGCATAGCCCTTATACATTGGCATATAGGAATGACTAGAGCAAACCAATAGAGTATTTTTATGTAATACCCTTTTTCCACCCTACAAAAGATGTAGCAATTCATAAAGCTATGAATTCAACTTCTTATTTTAGAATATGGTGGAGATAGAGTTACATTCCAAGTATAAAATTGTTTGCTATCTGTAAAAATAACTTCTTTATTCGATTTTAACAGGAATTCTATCTAAAGTAATTGATATATTTAAATTTGGAAAGCACTTTTATGGCCAAATGGTAATTAACAATACCTAAATGTGGTGTATAAGGAACATTATTCAATGATGTCAAGACCCTTCAGCGTTAAGTATGCCTCATGTTCATCAATTTTCTGTGTTCAACATTTAAAAAGTCGCTTTAGAGGATTTATAAAGTTAAGCGACAAAATCTCCATTACCATCTTACTAATCGTCTGAATAGATTAAATTGCTTTAATCTTGCATTATTATAGATGCACAATCAACTTTATAATTGTGAATTAGCTTAGACAGGCCTTGTATTTTTACTTTGAATCATCTTCAAAAAGTATAAATAATACAATTCTTCTTCTTAAAATGTAGCCAAACAGAAACGATTTCCATTTAAATTGAACTTACAATATTTAATGATGCAAGGACTTTAAATATATTAGTAACTCATCGAATTAAAGTTATTGCTACTGTAGGCTCCTGATTAAATTCTTGGCTAAGTTCATAACTTAGCATAGACGACTCTATGATTTGCATTCTTGTTTAATTTTTTTCATTACTGATCAAATTCTTCATCTTCACTAATTGTTCCATCAAATTCTAGAATTAACAGTACAATATGAAGGTTGTTGACATCATTAAATGCTCCTTCAATCATAAATGTTTACAAATTTTCACCACTTTCCAATCATTTTAGCAATTCTTACCAACTTTTAAGAATTTAAACTTCATCCCGTTGGCTTTTGAAGGACTCTTTTTATTTTTGATAGGATCCTGAGACTACCCAATTTCTATTTATGATATGGGGCTTTCATTTCTGCAACGGATCCTCTAGATCAAAGTATTTTTTTTATTTGCACATTGGAGGCAATTAGTTTACGGTTACACAAGTAGAAGAAGAATTAAGTTTGACTTCTTTTTCTAAATAATCTGCTGATATGAAGCAGATTAGCTTTAAATAATTTAACTCTTAGCATTAAAACCGTTATCTATATAAAATCCAAGAACACAAACTTGACTTTTTGTTGCCAATGCTGATTTACAAGGAGACCAAGATTGTTGATATTCATAAAACGAATTCTTAATAAGAAATAACTAATAAATTAAGTTGATGAATTATAAATATTGCATGTTGTTGCAAAGTGTTGACAAAGGTAATCAACTTTTAAATGAATTCTTAGTATAAGGTAAAAGTTGCCAGTATATTTTTGGCATGCTCAACAGTTAATAGGAGATTCAATAAAAAAATTTATAAAATTAGTTGGAACTCAGATTCCGTGAGAGACTGCTTAAACTATGGAGCAATGATGAATACTAATGCCAAACTAAAAATTTATCACTTACCTTGCTTTCTGTGTTTTAAATATATTCGATACATTAAAAGCTTGAAATTTAGAGATGTCCCATATAGTTAATACAACCATCAATTCTTTCCTCATATAACATTCAAAACTTACTAAGTGATGGCTATATATTTGTATTATTGAAATAATATCATGCTGAGTAAATATTAAATATTTAGACATTGCAAACACATTAAGGTTTAGTAAAATTTGTTACTTTCATTTTTAATATGCTAGTAGTTTTACAAACTTTCATTTTTGTTAACTATTAGAATTTTTACATCTGCCAACGCAATAAAGTCGAAATTGCTATAATTGTAATAATGTCCATAAGCACATTTGTAGTAATTCCCAAGAAAAGCTTTACTATAAAAAAAAGTATACATTTGGTGTTTGCATTACTAGTTTATTGAATTTTTTACATTTAGCTCAAGCAAGTCATTTGGATTAGTAAAATCTAAAAAAATTCTATATAACAAGGAGTGCATTTGTAGGCACAACTGCAATTAGTACAACAAGCTGAAAACTATTTACATAATACCCATCACAAGCTATTCAATAGGTTATTTAATTGCTATATGCATCACTCAAATAAGTAAAACAGCCAAAAAGATCAATTATGGTAGTTTTCATTAATACTGAAGTATCTATTTTGATATATTAAATACAATTCAACCAAATAAGCAACACGATTTTGAGTAAGTATTAAAAGTGTAAGTAGGATCACCAAGAAAAAAATGATTATAACTTAGGTTCAACAAAAAATACCTAAAGAGAGAGCAAGATAATGGATATTGCTTATGGAAAACAATAATTCAGGTGTGTTCTTTCATAAAATATTGGAAATATGATTGAACTATTAATGAAAGAAGCACTTTTATTTTAAGTGCTATATTCAATGCAGGCGTCTTAACGCTATTATTATTATTACTTATGTAATCAAACGAAAAAATACAGTATTATTGATTCATTAAGTTAATTGACAGTGAAAGTTTATTGAAGTTTGAATACTCCCTTATTTAGCAGCCAGAAGTAACACATTATGCATATTGTCATATAGATGATCATTAATCCTTGAAATGTAGTTTGAGCTTTTTTCTAGAAAGATTATGTTACTTTTCAAAATTTTGAGGCTTCCTTTCAATATCTTATGTATATATATTTGTTTTATCAAGTACTATTAGCAAGGTATAATTTGAGAGTACTTCAATATAATATGAGTTTCATTTGTTAAACATTGTTCTATATAAGAAAGTAATAGTATATCTTATAATCTTGAACCGTTTTCAAAGTTTACAGACACTAATCATGGTCTTTGGCAATTAAGTCATAATGCTTAATAATAATGTTGGTGACAGTGTAAATATCCATGCAAAACATCCTGAAATGCAGAATGCTGATGTTAAATTTGTTTACAGGGATTCCAATTATCCTAAATGCCTTGAGTTGTAATTCATCTTCCGCTAGATTCAATACTGATGCAGATATATGTGAATTGAACTCCTACATATTACGTATAGAATAACGCAAAAACCTGCAATGCATAACTCTTCTTCTAACCTCTGAATATAAGGCAGTTGAATCTACTACTGTTTAAAAAAAAACTCTCTTTTAGATATTGTTTCACAATCCAAAAAATCTTAGATTGATTTTCTTTATCTCTTTAAATACTTCTGAAGATTATATAGTGATAGTTCCTGCCATTTTTCCTCAACACTTCTTCTTATAGCGTGATTGACAAACGAAAAAAAATGCTGTTGTGTTATTGATTAAAATTTCCTTTCTGGTGCATGTGTTCTATAGCTACTTTTTAAAATTTAAACAGTTACATTCCATCTAACTATCCTTTGCTGATTGTGTTGATTGAATTACAAAGGATTAATTAAAGCTTCAAATCCCATACAAGAATCTATCGCTTATAAAAACTATTGTAAGTTTCATTTCTCATGAGCTATAAGAGTTGCAGCTGATATATTGCTACTTGTTCATATAAATCAATATATGTTAAGGTCACACATGGAAAATTTTCATCTTGGATACTCCATCTTTTTTGGCAATAATCAGTGCTATAAAGTTTTAATTTCAGCTTCTTATTATCGTTATTGTGTTAGTAGGTGTTTTGATATGCGAAGAATTTTGCCATCTGTTACAATCCTTGTGTCACATAAACCAATTCTTGAACTAATAATTGCTCAACTTGTGGCGATGCATTGGATCAAAACAGAAATACATGGGGCCGCTAAAAAAGATTGAGTTCCAAAAATTAATAATTATAACAACATATGAATGCATATTGTTATGATAACAAAAGCTTGTAAAAGTATCATTGTGGTAATAATACATGTTTTTATGCGCACTCTCTGATTTGGTTGGTGGATATAAAAGTAAAATCAGCTTTCATATGTATTTGTGTCAAAAGAATATTGAGGTATCCATCAGCATCTAGATGTCTAACTTGCATAAAATCACATTTATCCAATAATATTACTTAAATTTTTCTTATAAAATACATGTTGAAGTCTTGTTTTACTGGGTTTTGTTTCTGTCTGCTTTTTGAAATCTCCTGACCATAGTATCAATAATGAAAATCTCAAGATAATACTATGATGCCAATAGTAATAATATTATAATGTTCTAGCAAATATCTTAGCTGTATCAACCACAACCATTGTGCAAACCATCATTATGTTTGTATTTGAACAACTAAGTTGTTGTTTTAAGCTAAGGATCTCCAATTTTAAAGCTTTATCAAATTGTGATAGTGTAAAGCAGCCTGGGTAAGCATACAATAATAATTTTTGAACAAATTTAAAATTCATATCCTTCTTATTAATTCTCTTGTAAGTTTAGAAATTAGTTTAGCTGACCAAATTTCTAACTAGTTTCCTAATTTTTTTGTTAACAGTTTAAAAGTTTTACAGTATGTTTTATTGAGATGCTCGAGCAATATATATATTTGAATTAATTCTTAATTGAATGCTCTCTTGACAATCTTAATTCTGATGTATATAAAATTATGCTATCTTAGCTTCATAGATTGGATATATTTTTGCTCCCTGGATTTTATTTTAATTGAGCATGTTTGTATAAATTATAAGACATCAGCACTGAAGATGCTTATAATTTGTATTAATCCCAGTCAAGAGTTATCTTAAATGCCTGTTAATGTTTTTAGTGTCTGTCAATTCCTATAAGCTATATGTGATGATCAAAACACATGCACCTTTTTGGATACTCCCTCAAACGAACAATAATCAATTCTATTAGTGATTAACTCTTAGACTTACATATTTTTCTAAGCTACCTACTCTCATTATTACCTCGCTGTTACTCAACTTGTGATGCTTTTATCAATATTGATATACATGTGCTTTCATAATTTAAGTTGCTCAAGCAATTCACTTGTAATGAATTGGATATTATAACAATAAAGTAGACAGATAACATTTATAAAGTGTGAGTAAATCGTGAAATCTTAATCAACTGTAATATTTGATAGTGAGATATACCTATTTAGCCAACCTGATTTATAAAGTACCTTGATGATGGGCTGTCTGAATGCTTGACTATACAAGTTATTCCCAACTTCTAAGCATTGTTAATTTAATAATTGTAATGACAGCAGTACAAGTGTCTTAACTTCTTCACATAAAATCCTTGCATAATGTACTTTATAAATGCTATGTTAAGTTGTGTAAGCTGTTACTCATGTTTGGCAAGTTATTCACTATTACCACTTGATATTTAATACGCTGCCAAATTGTAGATCTTATGTCGCTGGCTGGATGTCATATTTTAATGAAAAATGTAGCCCTTATTTTTACTCTTTAGCTGTTTTTGGTAAAATGTTCTGGCAATTATAATAAAAGTTCATGATCTCTTCATGATAATGAGTAATACGGCAAAAATTAGCAGTAACTATCTTTAGCGGATAGTGGATCAAGTATTCATGTTTAACATGTCTGCTTGGATATATTACTGATACTCCACTATTGGGAAGCATTGTGCCTAACCCTGCATGTTGATAATCATCAGGAGAATCAGCTGGTTTTGTTTCCTTATTAATGCTATCTAGTAGTTTTAAGAATTTTCCATCCCTAGAACAAATGTGATAGTTGTGAACTTAATCTATTACTGAAAACTCAAAATCTGTCATGTTTTATTTCATGCAATTCAATAAGACAAATAAATTTCAAGAAGTTTCTTCACAGATCATTGAACTAATAATACTCTTTGTTTGTGCACTCAAGTGTCTCATATATTTTAGGTTTAAAGTAGAATTTGAACTGGAAAAATCCACAGTTGAAATGTTAACAGTACCCACAATTCATTCTTCATATAGATGATCTTTAATCAATATTTTCATTTATAATAAAAATCCAAGAATGTATAAATAGGTTATCAATTAATTTAAAATATTTCTTAGAGGATTCAAAATTTCATAAAATTAAAAAAAAATAAATGAATAATTTTTGTTAAGTACATGGAAATTAATCGATAAGACATATATGTACCTTTAATCATGAATGTTAAAAACGAATGTGTCCAAATTGTTAATATGCTCATTAATAAATTGTTCCTGAAGGTAAAATTATTCAAATTACAAAATTTTTTATTGAAGTGATGGATTCTGCTAAATTATAATTATGATTCTAAGATTGAAGATAATATTGATATATAAATGAAAAAGAACTTGAAAACAATTTTGGATTACTATTAGAATTTGTCACAGAAAGCACAAGAAAATTTTACTTATATATTCGGGGAAATCAGATAAAGAGAGTTCTTTTGGTTAAATTTTTAATATTGAATCTTTAACCTATTTATTATATATAAAAATTAATTTGATTCAAAGATATGTTGTGTGCTATAAGGCAAGTTTATTTTATAATCATATTTGCATAAAATTTTAATTTAGAAATATGTCTGCCTATTAAAACATTAAAGAGAATTTCTTATCTAGACCGTTTTAGACCTTGGTTGAGTGTATATTTATGGTGGAAATATGTGGAATATTAGGCACTATAATGAAGAATAGGTAATATCTTAGTAATGTTCAACATAGGGAACTTATGCTTCTTTGTGACTTTCACATTAGTAGGAGTTATAGCATAGATTGTTGGAGCCTTTATGACATAGAACGGTTCAATCAATGTACAATCAAGCTTAATTAAATCTGTGCAAAAGCCCATGTGAACGTTTCTATGCGAAAGATGTTATTCCTTAAACATCAACAGAGATCTAAGTATATTCTAAGAATAATTAGAGTAGAGTTTAATATATCTATTAAGCGATGAATGCATAAGAATGCTTTCTCGATGGATGCATCAGCTATTTAGTGGATGGAAGAAAAATTTGATTGTTTAGGATGGTTCAATGAGCATCCAATTTAAATGTTTAATGAAGTCAATTCAGATGTGAAAGATCAATAGTACTAATTGAAATTGTATTGGATTCTCTTGTATAAAGCATTAGGTAATTATTTTAAGAGGCTCTTTTCAATATCTGAAATAATATTTATCATTATGGGATTGATGTTTATATTATATGTTGTTTGGGTTATCATCCAGACAATTAGCACAAATTTGATAATTATAAAAAGAATAGAAATTAAAGATGATAACAACACAAAATCATGAATATTATGTTATATAAGTTGTTATCTAATAAAAATTATTTAAATAAAAAAAAATTCATTATTTCATCAAATATGCTTGTGGTTAGAACACAATTTCTAATATTTGTATATAAAATGATGGATGAAATTTAAAATAATGGAATATTTCCTATAATTAGCTTAAATTTTATAATATTTCATCCAATACTTTTTTATAATTTACATCGGTAGGCTTAAACAGTTAGAATAGAAAATCCAGACTACTTTAAAGAACAAAATCATACTGCAATTTTTATAAATATCTACAATAAGATTATTGAAAATAAAATAATTCAATTCATTCTATGTACTTCCTTACTTAAATTTTACAAGAGTCTTAATCTCAGGTGACTAAATATTGTCCATCATTGCTTAAAATACCAAAATTGTAATTATTTTAAAACTATTGCCTATTCTAACCTAAATTCTACACATTCTTCGTCCTTACCCTATATTAACATTCTTATCATATTTACATTGATAAGAAACATCTGTTATTGGAAGTTTGCTGCTTTCAGTAAATTATTTTTAATCATTAAAAGCGTAGATAATTAAATTTGAATTATTACATTATTCGGGTTGAAAATACAAATATTTTGTTATATATAAAGCTTAAACGATAACCAAATTAATCAACTTATATTTTTATCTCACAACCCAACTTACATTTGCATTGTTTCATTTATTCAATAAGTAAAATCATACAATCTAAACCACAAGAAATAATTTTGTCTTCTTCTTAACAGTAGGATAATCCGCTTACAGAACCATTATGATCAAGAATTGATTATGAACATGAAAATTATTTGTTGATACATTACCAAAATTTTATACTGTTGTCCTGACTGCTTGCTACGATAAAGTCTTCAGACTGTAGACTAATCACTAAACACAAAATGGCTTAGAGCCCTTTTAATTTTTAATCCATTTTGATTTTGCAATTTATTAGATTGATGAAATCACTATAGAACCATCAAATGAGCCAGATACAATGTAAGAATTTTTAAACAAAAATTAAGTGTAGATACTTCAGCTGAATGATGATTCAAGAACTTAAACTATTTTACACAGCTTATTTAAATATATGAACCAGAGTTTTTAAATCTCAACCAGTGAGTAACATTGTGTTATCATTATTAATTGCCAATGCTATGCATGTTTCGTGTTTATAACTTGATTACTAAATTCCATAAGTTTAATCTGTAAATGGTAAATACATTATTAATAATTATTTATGAGATTTCAATTTAAAGAAAAAGAATTGAAGAGAAGCTTAAATATTAATTCTTCAGAGAATCAAAATTATATTCGCATGTTATATAAGCAAGAAATTGGGAATTTATTCAAAGTTCAAACTTATTGGCTTTGAATCTGAACAAAGAAAAACTTTTTTCTTTGATCGTATTATAAATTCCTTCTATACGGCACTATAAAATACCAGAAAATCAGTTTTATTTATCCCTGTTTAATCAAGATAATTATGAGATATTTATTAATATTTAACAAATAAATTACCCATATTGCTTTATCTATAATTCACTAAATTTAATCTGAGAAATAAAATTATTATTTAATACTATTAAGACAGATTAAACCAATTTGAATCTGAAAGTAACCAATTGCATCAATGGTTCCATGATAATAGTGAGAAAATTAATGGTATTTCTTAATGCAAAATAAATTTTTATTATTTAGACGTATCAGAGGATCAGTTAAAGTAAGTCTCATGTACTTTGTCTTTAGCGATGATATTTAATATTCTAAGAAAATCCAACTCATTCATTGATGGTCTATGTTGACCAACTTATCTCAGGTGCTAATTATTAATTATTAGCGTAAGATTATCTTATGTTTGAATAATTAAATTCTAAAGAAACTTAATTATTCAGTAGTTACTGTTCAATCAAATTTTAATTATATTCTTTTGTCAATTTCAAACTAATTTAACCATTCGAATTTCCCAAATTAAATTAAATAAAGTAAATATATATTTTAATTTATTGTGAAGGAAATAGATAAATTACTTTAAGTGAATCATTTTTAAGCCTCATAAGTGATTTCTTTTTGCTTATATTGTTGATTTTTATAATTATATTAAAAATAAATCTTAGAGATCAAAACAAGCTGGATAAAAATAATTTTTAGCTGATCCCAAAGGAACAAGGTAGTTTAATGTTGTAAATAAATGGTGGAATGTTTAAGTGAAAGAACACTTTTTATCATTCAAGATTTAAAACTAAATGTAATTAAGATGAGATTGAATCGATAATATAATCCATGGTAGAAATTTTTCATCAAATAGGTGAGAATTACTTTTTTGAGAATTAAATTTTATTTTCTCTTTAATAAATACAGCTATGAATTAAGTTGTTTAATTGAATTCTAACTATAAATATTGTTATTTTTGGAGTATTTCATAAATTACATACTAATAATAAGCAAATAAATAAATTTCAAGCATTTCTTAGACTTCCTTATGTATAGTAGTTGTTTTTATTATTTTATTATTAAAAGCTTATGATCAGCTTCTTTAGGTTTTTTGGCCGAGAAAAAAAGGGTTGGAAGCTATTTGGAAGACGGATAAACACCCAGTAGAAAAGGCTAACAACCAAAATTGATGATCCATTAATAATAAATAAAGAATTTAACTCATCTAAATTATATCTTCTAAGGTATTGACTTTAGATTTTAGTAAGAAGTAAAAGGACAATCAATTCTTATAAATTCAAATATTTAGAATTAAAACTGAGCCAGGTTATAAGGATATTGAGTATTAATGTATTTTAAGTAAGTTACATTTAAATTGTATCGTTTGATTGGGAATAAAATTATATCTAATAAATTATATAATATTTCTAAACTGCCGAACAAACTGCTCCTGCAACCGTAAAAGCCATAACATAAAACAGTATTGAATTACTGGATGTAGCCATTTCAACTTGTGTGACAGTAGTTTGATCAATAAAAAATATCTTGGAATTTCAGCCAAAATTTCTTGTTCTGTTTATGAATATAGATGGTATCAATATTTCGTCTAATACCTACAACATTTAATATAGGTATAATAATAATATTATAATTACAAACAATTTATAGCGATATCGAACATCCTTTGCAATTATCACTACATTTAAAGCAAAGTCATGGTTGATGTAAGGTATTTATGTAAGAATAGATTTTATCAATTTTGCAATCAGTGCAACCATCTCAGGAAACATCATTACCATCATCACAATCTTCTCCTTACATCCAAATATTATCAGAACAGACTTTGTATTTGCAAACTCAAATATCCATCCTAAGAAATACATATATTGTTCTATTGTTTTCTATTTGCCTGTGAATTACAACTAAGACAGTTAGTAGATTGTTGAAACATGTATAACATCAGTAGTCACACAATCGGCAGTGCAAATTGACTTCAAAATATCCGTCTTTGCATATACATTATTGTTGATTTAGATTTAATTTGTATCAATACACGTTAAACATTAATCTTATTCAATTTCACAAGTTTTTCATGGAGAAGCGCATGCTACACAATTAAGTTCATCTTCATAAGATCCAGTTTTACAAGTACATTCTTAAGATGTATTAACTATTTTATTATAGTTGGCAATAAGTACCTGATAATAGCATTGATGCATGTTAAGCATCCATTAGCATTACAATTTTAACAGGGATATGCACATTAAACACATGTAGTAATATATTTGAATAACATTTGTCCTTACGTATATATTGAAGTACTGAATTAATTTAATGATTTTAATCAGTGCAGGTATCACAGTGAATTATTAACTGAATAAGTTGAACAAGGACTTTAGCAAGGTATGCAATTAGAATTACTCTCATTTACATAACCATAATTACAAGCACAATAAAAAGTGGAATTGTTAGTTTAATTAGAATCAATGCATGCTAAACAATGAGTTATTGTTTCTTAACACGTATCACAAGGTAAAGTATAACAAACATAATTATCAAATAACATTACAAGGTTTGCAGTTTGTCGGATTGTTTGTTAATACTTGAGTCGTGTTATAAGGACACTCGCAGGTGTTTTAATTTGAAGTGCTCATCATATAGGTTGATGCGCAATCCAAACAATAATTACCATTATTCTAACATTTGCTACATGGATGAGTTGGCATGAAGAATATTTTATAATAAGTTATCCAAGTAATATCCATCAATACATTATATGCTTATAATAGTAAAATCACAACGCATTTGTAACAAGAGGTATCACATTGTATGCAATTATTTGCAGAATTACAATAGATGTCAATGCAAGATGTCATGATAAGTCTGAAGTACAATTTAAGCAAGGACTGACACAACTTTAACACATGAAAGATGCATTCATATAAAGAGTTGCAGGACAGGTACAAGAGACTTCTGTTTGATGAATTGAGTCATTGCAGGACGTACAAACTGCACTTGAAATACAATTTTTGCATGGTAGGTTGCAAGGTGAACAAAAAGCACTCCCATAAAAGCCATCACCACAGACACATTAATTATTCAATAGTTTTTTGTTTAGTCCTGAAATGCATGATGTACAAAAAGTATCTAACGATGCACAAGTTTAACATTGTCTGGTACAATTTTTAACAACTTTTAGGGATACACTTACTTCTTTATAAAATTAGATTTACTGTACCATTTAGCTCAAAATTGATTAAATTGGCATTCGCATATGTGATTAACAGAATTAAAAGTATAGGCTAAAGCACATGTTAAACAATAATTTATGTTTGTTTAACATGTTGCACATAGAAATTAACATTTATCACAAAGTAATTTGAGGTGTTCATGATAAATCCTACTAAACATTAATAGCTTAACCCACCTTAGTTAATTGTTTTATTACAAGTTTAACAATCTAAGCTGCCTGTAATACAGGTCGCACATGGTAGGTGACAAGGTGTACAAACACCTGACAAACAAGTAACGCAAGTAGACCCTCTTAGCTCACACCCAGGTGTGCATGCACCACAATTACCACTAGTTCCACTGCATGTTAAACATCCAGTTGGACAAGTGTGAATGAGACACTTTTGACTATTCTAAAAGTAAAACAACAGAATGAATACTTTAAAGGTTAAGGAAAAGATTTAATAATATTTTTCATCTAATTTTCAATACTGTACTTATATAAAATCAATAAAATAAATTAGTCATTTTTAAATTAACAAAGCAAATATCTGATTTTGTAGTAGATAAGACAACGCTGGATAAAAACACAGCAATGATTCCACTTTATTATGTTGAAAAATCATTAATCGAACTACTGATATCTCCTTTTCTCAAAAAATTATGTTTTTTGTTACATATTTGAGAATGCACATTGATCTAAGCAATCCCATCTAGCATGTATAATTGCTTAAGACAAAATGAAAAAATTCAAAAACCACCTGTCATAAATTATCAATTTTTTTATTTCAAAAAGATTATTTAGTGATTTGATGATTAAAATTTTTTAATTTAAACTATGAGATAGGTAAAAAGAAAGTAGATTTATTTATGTACTTTATTCTATGATATCCATTCTACCGTAACTAATGTTTTTGAAGTTAGAAATAATGCTGTTGAATTGCTTTAAACTTGTAGAAAAGAGAACTTAAGATCCAAAACTTTCTTGTTTTAACTCTTATAAAGTTTTTATTTTATTATTTTTTGAAGTATTTGCATTCATTTAATTCATCTTTTCTATTCTATAGTCATTTAAGAATGCTTACAACACTATTTTTGATTTTGTTATTGCAACTTATTTAATTAATAGTACAATGTAAATTTTTCTGATCGCAAAAACTGTCGAAATGTAATAATTTATCTAAGATATACCATCATAAGAAATTTGAGTATTCTGGGGAATTCAACTTCCTAAGTTTTACTATGAAATGTTGCTTACACCTAAAAATTCAATAACAATTAATAAATCATAATATTTAGAGGTGAAGGGAGAAATTACTCTGATTATACCTTTTTTCTTAATTTAAATTACTGTATAACAATGCATGAAGGATTTAAAAAAAGAATCGTTAATATTAAAAGGATATCACAAGAATGTGCTATAAAAATAGGCAGGAGCAGTGATATCATCACGACTAGATAATTATTTTTTCGAAGAAAACGAAGGCTCCTGTTTAAGAGATAATACATACAAAATGATGCCAAATCCAAATGCAGTTCCCTCAACTAGATGCCCTTAAGGCTAAACTATTTCCTTATCACTAATGTAAAAATATTATTTGAATACATTAATAATTTGGCTTTGGGAATACGATTTTGTTGCAAATAGAAGCGAGAGGGTTTACGATTTAATTATCTATATAGTATTTGATTAAGTAAAAAAACAAATTTATGAGAATAAAAATGCAAAACGAATACTCAGAATTTCATTTCCTGATTAGTTTGTTGAAGAAATTATTTTATTATGTGTAGGAGGCAATACTTACAATCCTTATCTGCACATCACAAAGGCTGAAGTATATTATAAGTTTTAATGAATATTGTTAATTTCATTTGTTTTAAATTCAATTAATGCTATCTATTAAGGAATTATTTTAGTGAGAATGTTTTTATTTATAAGATTTAAATAATTAAACATATTTAAAGTAGGTAAAAAGTCTCATTCGAAATGATGCCAATTTTAATAAATAACAAGAATGGTTAATTTTTCTATTTTTCTCACTTTCAATTAATTCAATATTTTACCAAAATATTGCCGTCGCAGGGTAATCTGGGTTGGTGGACTCATAATCAACTCTTCTACATTTCAACAATCTTTGAGATATGCTCCAACTTGTGATGAGTTATTTGTCTGTACACTTGGAGGACCATTCTAATAGAATTATGGCAGGTACAGATGAAGAAGTTCGAAGAAAAGTTTTTAAAAATTAATCCCTTTTCCTTAAAATATAGACAATATAAATTATAAATGTTTTCCAAATCAAGAAAATACATACTATTGGTAACAGTGATCATTATAATCTAACTGCTGAGATACTTTTTAACAAAATAAAATCTTTTTCGGTTTATCATATTAAAATGTAATATAGTTTAGCTTAATTTACTTAGGCAGATAAGAATGACTAATTCTCAGAAATATGATTTAAGTCATCGATTTCATTATTTATTCTTCATAATAAATCAAACCTTCAACTTGCAAACTTTTCAATAAGACTTTACAATATTTCCTAAGTTAAACTTTACTTGTAGAAGCGGAATGAAAATTATGTTCAACTGATGTGAAAGATTTATCGATAACCAGGAGAACCCTCAATAGCATCCAAATGAGGCCTCACAAAAAGGTTCTGAATTCAATCATCTTAAAATAAAGAAGTTGTAACATAATTTTCAATATAGATTTTCATTCGGTAACTACTCAAAATATGTCCTCAAAAGCTTTGCGACAATCACACCTTCACTTTCTTAAACTTACATTTTTTTTCCTTTTGGATTATCCTCAAGTGTTGGACGTTCTTTACAATTTTCTTTTTATCACTGAATTTTGTAAGGTTGTAATATGCTGTATAATTTATTAAAATAATGTTTTAAACAGGAATGTTTTGATAAGTTACAGATGGTTTACAAATTGATTGCTTACAGGCTATTCTTAGATAACTCATTTTAACTCTTAAGAGTTCACTCTGGTCCTACCTGATCCTCTTGTTCTATTCCTTGATTTGTTTTGCATTTTCTCATAGCTTATCTCATTTAGAAATTCTATGAGATAAACTTTTTTCAGTCTCCCAATTACTTTTAGTTTTCTTATTTCACTTAAATATCGATTAAAATTAGAAATTATTAATAATCTAACGTTTTGGTTGGTTCTATATTTACAGTATGCAATCCTTCAGGTCCTATAACCTTATGCGATTTCTTACGAGATATAAAAAGATTCCATTTTACAAATAGGCAAAAATAGATAGAAGGAGAATCGAGAAAAGTTATTTTTGAAATTTGTTCAACAAAAAATTATATTTTTCATGATTATTATAATAAAAATAAAATCTTAATAATAAGATAATATGGAATCAGATTTGGACTACAAACTATTAAACTATTGATTGTGAGAGTACATATGAAATAAGGTCACTACATGAGGCTTGAAGCTCCCATTAATAATAAATATTTTGATCTTGACAATAACCTTGTTAATACAAAAATTTTTCTTTCTTTATTAATGAGAAGATTACGATACCTGAAAAATGCATACTAATGATTCAATCATTCTTGCATACACTAAATTGTTTTCAAAAATAAATAAATTTATTTTTTGAAAAAATGATTATAAGTAGAATTAAATAATTAGTGAAATGAAATTTTGCCAAACAGGAAATCAGAAATCAAGGACACCTAATATAAACTAATTTTTAGTAAGTTAACTAGGCTTAATAATATAAAAACAATGGTATATTAAAAGTTATAGATTAACTTTTAGAAGTTTGATTGAAGGAGAGAAAGTGCGTTAATTCAATCCAAAGCTTCTTAAAATGAAACTAAAAAGAATCAAATAAGAGCTTAAATATTTAATACCTATAATTGGTTTAACAATATAGACTCATAATTAATAGTTTGAATAAATATCTATTATAATTACATTCTTAAAATTAACATCCACCATAGTCTGACTCTGTTTTCACTTCTCAAGATAATTAATCTGAACAGATTTAATACTGAATTTTATTTTTAATTCAATTTAGATGAAATTAGTTTATAAATCTATGATTTCTTATTAATCTAGCTTAATTTTAAAAAATACAATTTGCTACTACATTTCAATGTATTTGCTGTATTGATAAAAAATTACATGAGATCTTTTACTTAAGTAAACTTTCTAATTGAGTTTCTTTGGATTAAAATCAATTAAAAAGCATTCTTCAATTCTTAATAAAGGAGCATTTTATTATTTGCACACAAATAGATTCAAAAATGTGTATTCAATATGTTATAATTTCTTGGGCAACAAGTTTTGGTGATTATTATATAGTCAATTTTAAGATGGTTAACTAAATATAGTGTTAATGTAATCGATAATTCTAAATTTATCAAATCCCTTTTAAGAGGAGTGGAAATACTCTTTAAGTTTGAGATTTTCTAATATATGCGAAAAATTTTAATGGTATTATTAAATATAGCATAAAATATCTTTTGAACTGATGAATATTTTTAACAACCTATTTTTATTGCATCTGATAACAAGATGCTAGTTTGAAACCCTTTAATATCAAAATTTTTTTCCAAGCATGAATTTTGGTAATGAGTGTAGGATATATTTATTTAGATTGGTATTAAAACTCCTATTATTGTTAATCAACAACTTGTGGTTTAAGTAAAATTTTTGGAGGTTATAGCTGCTTTAATTATACCATTATCATAGTAAAGACTTTTGAGCTCCAACCACATTATAAATTAAGAATAAAATTTGTTTTTTGGAGGTTAATATTCAGATATATTAATAGAATTGACTTGTGGGACAATGACCCTTTTAGTGTTTATATAGATAATATTTAAACGCATAGTGCAATATATAATAACACTACAAGTGCAAGCAATATTTGCGGACAATCTTATTATGATGAGACTTTTTAACTGGATTTGACTGCTAATCATTCAAGCCCAACAGCTTAGATATTAATAACAGGATATAAATATTGGGGAATTTCCTAATTTCAATTATTCATAGAAAAATGTCCAGATGGTTGTGATTCTTGTGATGAGAATGGGTGTTATAATTAAATATTATATATTTAATCTTTTATTGCTAAAACCGTCAATTATGCTGACTTTAATGAAGGATGGTTGTAGGAAAATGGACAAATGTAAAATAGTATAGTTAATATAGAAGGTATTTTACAATTTATTTTAGATTATTAAATTTATTAATTAATGTCTTTGAATTCTACTAAAACAATATAACTACCAGCTCATGATGCTGTTAGCATATCAATGAAATTAATCAGCTTCAACTAACATCACTAATTTGATATCCTAATTGATGACCAGTTAGTAGTTGTTTCAGAAGTTCTTCAGTTTGTATCAATTTATGGTAGCTATAATATTCATAAACAATTACTCGCAAGTCAAATTAATATCCATTAATTCCCACATAAGCATAATTCAATTAATTTAAGAATAACCATGAAATCATAGAGAATTTATACGGCATTTTACAGTTAAGGGGCTGGAATTAGAGATTTTTAATTATTTTTTAGACCAATTTTAATTGAAGATTCTTGCTTTGATAATAATGTCTATCCTTTTGATGGATGCTTTGCTGAGATTTATGATTGTATTGAAGGTTGTGCAAACTGTGTAAAAGGTGTTTGTTTGGAATGCTCACAAGGATGGGAATTTTATGAATAAAATAAGAATTGTTTACCGATATGTGGTGATTCTATTATTACCTACTTTGAAGAATGCGATGATGGTAACACATATCCATATGACGGATGCCATTAATGTAAATACTCTTGTTAAGAGGATTGCTTAATCTGTGAATTTGGGTATTGTCTTAATTGGAAAACATCTTACAAAGACCTTGAGAATATTTCTTATAGTAAAAATTTGAAATTAAGACTACCAATTACACAAAAAGATCTAAGTCATATTTAGTGTTAATATTTGTATGATTCATTAGAATGCCATGAATATGTAAATGAGTTTGCATGGTTATTTTTAAGTTGCAATTCTTAGTATAAGATGAATGAAAAGAAAAAAACAATTAGCCAAAAGAAATGCGGAGATTTAATTATTACATGCGATGAAGAGTGTGATGATGGTAATAGAGTAGAACATGATGGTTGTCATAACTGTAAATATTCGTGTCCATTGAATTGTCATCAATGTCAATTTGGAAAATGTAAATAATGTTTACCAAAATACGAACTAATATTTGGGTAATGCAAATATATTTGTGATGGTTCTGAGAGTTAAGAAGAATAAGAAAATAGAAGATGTTATAATAGAATAAATAATTTGATTGAGAATGGACATTACTAACATAATCTCTTTAATATCCAAAATTCAAAATATAAAATAATAATTCCTCTAACTTGCAGCCTTTCAGATTTTGGAATTTTAGGATATTTTTATAATTAATGTAAAATAGCAGCGATAAAAAATTGTAAAGAAAGTATCTATGATAAATGTCTATAATGTGATGATAATTATGTATTGGAATATAATAGATTGGCATGTACTCCAATTTGTAATGATGGGTTTGTAATAGAAAATGAAGTATGTGATGACTAGAACAACATTTAATTTGATGGATGTTACAAATGCCAACAAAGTTGCTTATTGGAATGCTTAAATTGTGTTGAAAATAAATGCTATTAGTGTCTTGATGGTTGGCAGCTAATAGATTATGGTTGTTATCAATATTGTGGAGATGGTTAAGTAGCCTAATCTTCTATGGAACAATGCGATGATGGAAATTATGATAATGGAGATGGATGTTATTAATGTAAATTCGAGTGTGTTCCATATTGCAAATCCTGTGCTGATAGACATACTTGTTTGGTTTGTGAAAAATACTTTGAATTGTCTAACGATTCCTGTAGACCAATATGCGGAGACGATAATATTGTTGATGGATTGGAAGAATGTGAAGATGGAAATGATATTCCTTATGATGGTTGTTTTAACTGTCTGTTTTAGTGTGAGAAAGCATGTTAAATTTGTCGTTAAGGATCATGCATAGAGTGCATAGACGGGTATATAATTGCAAAGGATTACTGTGAGGTTTATAATTACACATTCATTATCGATGAAGATGAGGATGAAGTTGTCTAAAATTAATGTGCTGATTCTAAATACTCCAATAACGAAGAATGTGATGATGGGAATAAAATTTGATGGTGATGGTTGTTCTAGCTCATGTCAGATTGAACCTTATTGGTTTTGTAATAACTATCCAAATAAACCTAGTGTTTGTTCTCCTAACACTATTATAAAATTATAATACCTTAATGAAACTTAATAAATTTAATACATTTAATTATACTTCTCAAATAAAGTTAAATTAAATGAAACTATTTTAAATTTTACTGATTAAATAAAACCGTCTATCCCTTCTATTGAACAAGACGCATATGCTATTACTATAAATCCTGTAGTTGAAATTGATTAGACTGTTCTACTTGATGTTAGCTATGAATTTGAAATTAAATTCTTCGAGCCTATTACAGCAACAACTCTTTTCCTAGCTGTCCAAATAGATGCTAATTTAGAGGACCAAAACCAAATGTTGGTTAATACTTCAATCTAAACTATTAATTTATAATTACCCAAAATCTTGAACAAAAATTAGTTATAAACTGCCAATAACTTTCAAGCTCTTGGTAATTATATGATGATTGGATTAGCTAGCAGCAGTGTCTTTTTATTCTTTTTTGGAAATCCTAGTTAATGCTTGGAAATTTTAGATACTTTGCAATTTTAATCATATCTGAAATTCATAAATGTTCAATTTCCATAAAACATTCAAATATATTTTGAATCTTCAAAATTTGTAACTGTTAGTCCTGTCTTGGTAAAGTTACAAGTGCATGATTTTTTAGAATAATTAATTGGATATGAATAGTTAGACAGTATAGGTAAGTTTTTTGAATATCAATTAAACGCAGATTTGTTAGTTAATATTTATGGGCAATTAATTCAAATAGGGTCTCTGATTGTTTTGTATATTATTGTAAAATGCTATTAAAAAATTATCTATTCACATTGCTTTGGCATCAAATATATATATTATTTTAGACTCCTTAATCATAGAGTAGCTTAATTTTTTGGAATTAAATTTTATTACATTAATAAATATATATGTAAAATAGGTGATATCTTTACTGGAGTAGGATTAATTCAATTATACCATGCTAATAGCTGGGATCTATTATTTAAAATTTTAATGTATTTAGCTTCCAGTCATTAGTTAGGATTAAGAAAAATCATTTCTCATACTATTTCAATTGCATATCTGGTGTCCATAATTATCATTTTAAGCAAACATTTCAGAAGTTAGAGTAAATAAATTAGATTAAAAGATCTAAGAATCACATAGCATGAAGACATTATTTTACTCAAAAAACTCCTTTTTTTAGTAGTTCTTATTATTTTGCAAAGTTACCCTCTCATACAATGCTTGCTATTAACATGTGTATTATTTTGGTATCTTGGATCACTAATTAGTACTCAATTCACTTCAAGTAAACTCGATTTACTGATAATTATTTGGATGGAAGGACCAGTAATGATCTTTACATTATCTTGTATAATTTATTGCCCTGACTTTTCAAAGCATTTTTCGACTGATCAATAAATAAATGCGGGGTTTATATAAATAAGTTTCTTGATACTAGCTTTGGCCTCTCCCTTAGCGAGGTGCGGTTATTAATTTTATCTTAAAGTCAAAACATACTGTTTGAAAAGAATGTAGATGAGGAAACCAATTGTAATGAATGTTAGAAATATATTTTTAATAATTGAAAATAATTGAGTATAAGAAGATATCACTTCTTTAGTCATTAACTCATTATCATTTATCTATTAATCATATCTTTTAATTTAAAACAATTATTTAAATAATACCAAATTTTTAGTTTTCTTTATCTTTAATAAGCAAATCTCCTTTTCGAAAATCAATTTCTTCATAAAATTTAGACTTCATTTCATTATAATATAATCGAATATAACACTTTCAGAATTCTAGATAACATTAAAGTTGAAGAAATTTTTGATATCATTGAACGGTTAAGATTTGGAATCAAAGGGAAGGTAGATTCTTGAACATATATATTCTTTAATTGAATAAAATAAAGTTACTAAAGTGAATGTGAGTTTTATAATTAATTATTTATAAATTATCGAATAATTAAATTAAAATTTATTTAATGTTCCAATTAGTTTTTCTGTTTTATCTTCAGATTAGGATAGTATTTACAAGGATTGAAGAATTATATTTGATAGAAGATGAATCTTTTTCTTTATATAAGTAAGCACTTATAATTCCAACGAATGACACGGGTATCGATGAAAATGAATTTTCAAATTTTCAACTACTCTTAAGTAATGCTAGAAATTTATCAAAATAATTATCAAGTTTCAATAGAAATTTAACAATGCAATAAGATTTTATTAAGGTTTTTGCATCATTATAATTTGATAACTCTGCAATTGATTTATGCTTTTCAAAACTTGGTTCTATCTATTGCAAATATAGAATTATGAATTAACTCATAGATGAAGACCTTGCAATTTTCGAATCTTATGAATACACTCTTCTAACTGAAGATAACTTATGCGAATAGTTACATAATATTTAGATTAATAAATTTATTGTATAATGTAGAACTTCACAAGGGTTGATGATATAAATGATTAATGATAAAAGTGAAATTATTGATTCATTACTTATTGAACCTATTTACAATTACACATAACATTCGATTTTTAAAGACCAATATATAATAATTTATGAAACATTTGATTAATTTTGTGCTTTATCTGTGATTAGATGGTCTACAGATTCGAGTGATCTCTAATTACAAGAATTAGTTTTGAATGGATCGGATTATATGGATTCTAAAATAATTAACTAGATAAATAACGTCTAATTTTATCAAAGCAATGTTTTAATAATATATTATTCTTACACAATCCTACACCTGGACCTCATAAATTTTTCCATAACAACTCCATATAATTTAATTATTCAAGATTATTAATACTTTTAATTTGTTGAATTGTCTAATTCAAAAGCTAATATGACCATTTATTTAGATAATAATATCAAGTAGACTTTTGAGATAAGTAATAAAGAATTTCGAATTAATCCATCATTTTCCAAAATAGAGTAAGTGCAAC